ACACACACACACACACACACACACACACACACACACACACACACACACACACACACACACACACACACACACACACACACACACACATACATACGCACACAAGCACACACACACGCAAAATACTATAATCACAGATTTTTCTTACCTTCGTCTTCCTCCGCTGAACATGCTGACAGGAGAAAAATCAGGATGACAGAAATGAAAATAAACAAAACTTGTGGCGCCCACTTCACCTGTAAGTGTAACACAAAAATGTTATAGGGTAACGTTATGATTTCTCCATACAGTCGAACAATGCACAGACTTAAAAAATCTGAAACAAAGGACAGGTCTATGATATACTTGAGTACGCAAAGCTCTTACCATCGTGCATCTACTAGTAATGTGCTAGAACTTGCTGCACTTCTTGAAGTCGATCCAAAAGTTCGCTACCGGACATTTTAGACCTCTGGAAATAAACTGCCGACTTGGCGTGACAAATCGTTTAGTCACACCGGCTTATTTTACCGAGTAAACAAACGTAACCTGCCACCATTACCGATTTAACCTGGTTTTAACGGCGTCTTCCGTTTCGAATCGATGTTCGAAGCCTCAGAACACGTGTTCGAATGTTCGAACATACCATGGTTCGAAGTTCCGTGAACTTTGCGTTCAGGTCAAATGAGTCTACGGCACGTATTTGGGGAGGGGGGCGTTTTAGGATACAAAATGGTGACTACAACAACCTTATGTTATAAATTATAAGGGTGTGTATTGAAATTTGATTATTTTCAAAATAATGGACCCTCCCAAACACAATTTATGTAGATTCTAGCTAGGAATAGACGGGAAATATGCATCCTCCCATGGCAGGGGCAGCGGCTCCGAATTCCTTCTCCACCCCAGGGGTGGAGAAGGAATTCGGAGCCGCTGCCCCTGCCATGGGAGGATGGAAATATGAAACGGTATAAATAAATGCATTGACTCGACTCGTACTCATTGACTTGTAAAACAAGCTTGAGCTTTTTTTATTGATCGTCACCTCTTCTGAGGGTCGTCATACAGTTTCTCTATAGTTCTGCGTCGAGGGCTTGTCTATGTTTATCATGCATGTCACGCACCCAGAACGTATGTTGTGTGGAGGCGAGACTGATAAGCAGCTAGCCTGGTGATGAAATCTTCTTGTTCAAACGATAATCAGCTTTCAACAACAATATTGCTTTAGTGCCATAAACATACCCAACAGTGTAAATGTAAATTCAATTTGAGATATTAATGAACAATTTATCTGATAGTGCTACTAAATACCTTTACTGTCATCTGAACTCAACACTCAAGCTCTCGCTATCACACAGTTATATTTTATATCTGAAAGTATTTCATTACTAATATTCAATCTGTCTGTCTAGTGTAACATTTTCCATGTTACCAGTGCAAGTACAAAATGTATGATGAGAAAAGAATTTCGAGCCCTGAACAGCGTCTTTACCCGTCGATGTGCTGTTATAGTGTCAGACTTGGCATAAGAAGGGTAGACGCCTTACGCAGGGCGCGTCGTACCAAGCGTCGGGGTTCTTTGGGCTGAAACAAACGCAGTCCTCAATGCCGAAATGGTTGTTGGGCTGCCCCGGGGCCCACATGTTGTACTCTCCAAGCGGCGTCCCGTCCATCCACTCAAAGCTCCCGTCTTCAAACTGATCGTGCAGGCCGAACCAGAAAGACGAGCTGTTGTAGTAGACGGAGCGGTATAGGGAGATAAGGAAAGCGCTGGTCTCGGCGTCTCGGGGCATGGCGAGGGATCCGGTCCTCCCGGCGTGGCGACAGGTGATATCCGCGTGCCAGAAGTTCTTACTGGTGTTAAACGCCTTGTAGTAGGTACCGCGCCACTTGCTGTAACCTTCAGGACAAGAAGGAAATTTCTGAGACGGCGGTGTGCTGTTCATCTCGCTAAGACGTTGTTGGTCCAAAAAGGCGGCAGTCCGGTTACGCTCGTTGTTGAGGCTGAGTTTCAAGGCGTCAACAGTGGCTGAGAGTTGAGATATTTTCCCCTCACTGACGACCATAGCCAGTGCGAGCCCCACGGCGACCAGGGATACCATCACGGTAAAGCCGGCGGCCATGCGCTTGCGGTGAGCGCGGGCGAAGCTAAGAAGACGGCGGCGGCCGGAAGGGCCATCCCAGGCCTTTAATATATCTTCAGACGAAACGGCACGTTCGATGTTTGCGTCCTCTACACCCCCCTCACCCGACTTCCTCTCCAGTCCAGCTTGTTGCCACCGAGCCCCCTGCGAAGGTAGCTGTAGGTTGACCACCCAAGGCTCTTCGTAGATGTCGGAAGGGGTTTCTAGGTCTTGTTTTTGCACGTCGTCGCCGTGGCTTAATGCCCCACTCTGACGGAGAGTAGTAGATTGGGCCGGCGAGTCGCTCGTTTGTCCGTTGTCGGCCAGGGCCTGGGAGCGGACAGGCACTGCTTGCTCGTACATTTTAACCGTAACACCAGTGCCACACACACACCGCTATAGACCTTCAGATGAATTCGTAGATCGCAAAGCTAAGTAAGAGGTTACCTGTTTTCAGTGTAGCCGCAGAGGCGAGCGTATTAATTTGTTTTGTCTGAAAATCTACCAGGTAACGTTGAACGTGACTCAGCTACAAATGCAAACGTCGCACCGGCCTATCCCTTAAAATCGCACAGAGATCGAGAGAACACCGGTTGTAGCAGAAAATGTCCCTAACAGAATCGACGGGTGAGCTGTTTTTCTGTTTAAGACGATATAAAGGTGCAAAATTGTTACTGTACAACTGAAGAAGAGTGCAGATATGAATATTCCAGATGATAGCATGATTAGTCTGAAAAAAGGAAGGACGCCTTTGCCCTTATATGGAGCGACAAGTGAGGTATGACGTACTTGTTTTTCTGCAAGTGCACAGACTAATTTTCCAAGAAAATATCAACCTAAACTTGAATATTTAAATTTTTTAGTCTCCAAGCCTAGGTTGCTATCTTTGCGTTAAGGTCTCGGACCGGAGTTTCCCTCCGTATTTCGAGCAATTTGACACCCTCAGCCCGACGGGCTGTCATTTCTGTACTAAACGCGGGTCGGAATTTTTCACTCTTTTGGTGGAAAGGGGTGCCGTGCCGCTTATCAATACACTTGGTTGATATTTTCTGCGCCCAATTTATTTAGGGGTAAATGAGGCACATCAAAGTACATTTTGAAAAAAGGGTTCATTTTTTTCGTCATTTTTAACCATGGCTGCATGGAAAAAACGAATTTTCCTAGGGTAACGGCTTAGTACTCGAAGAAGCTCAGAACCTAATGTTTCCAAAATTTGAATTTAATTAAAATCGATGCGATAAGTTTATCGCTATCTTCGATGGCCCGAACACACCCAGAACGCATATAGAACGTACCATCCCGGCGGTCAGGCGAAAAGGCCACATAACCATCCGCGCGGACGAATACCAGGAAGTCTTAGCTGGACCACCAACATTACGCCACCTATAAAGGCTACAACTAACAGGCTTTTCAGAAAATACAAAGATATGTACACAGATATTACGATTTCAGGGATATCGCGGCCAAAACATACCATACAAAGTCACGTTTCCGGCGATTTACTGCGCACTTACTTAGACTCTGGTCAGAATTAAACTCCGACCCGGAACCTTACGACATCCATGCCCGTGTCAAATATTTTGATCGAAAGTCTCGATATTTCGCGAAGAGGGTCTCGCGAGAGTTCATTTTTAGTATAGTAACGGCTGTAACATATTTCCGTGGCAGAGACAGATTTTTTTCCATCGCAACGACACTATACTGTGACGTACACTTTTCTGTGTAATCAATTCAACATCCACCTAACGACTAATAAAAACAAAACGACTGCTAAATACACGCTAACTTGCTTGACTACATCGAAACAAGTAGCCTGAAAATGTACTGTGAGGTCATCCGAAAACGCGTTCTTTCGAACATCAGAACAAACCGCCGTTCCACAAAAACGGAACTCGGTAGCCTTGCCTACCCGTGTGTGTGTTTCACAACAAAGTCTATGAACGAAACTGCTCTAATGGTAGTCAAACACGGTTAGTAACAGTACACTAACCTGATCATCCATCCGTGATGTTCTTGTTTTGTCCGGCTTGCCCTCTTGTAGTGTGTACCGACCACATTTGTCTGTCGAAGTGGTGGTATGAGTCGTCAACCGGTGACGTTGATCGTCATGTTTGGAACGATCATGACCCTGGTAACGCCAACACATAACAGTGCCGTCGTCAGAGTCGAAGGTAAGGTATCGTTCTCCGTTTTTACTTTCCAAATCATGCCTATTATTTGGCCTGTTTACGTGTATGAAGGATATGCTGTAGCACGATTCAAGGTAATTGTTTCCCTGACTCTGTTACTAGTGTTAGGTTTGACCTATCGAAAATGACAGGGGTGCGTTGTAAAATGTCTGTTCGAGTGTGTGTGCGTGTATGTACACGTGTATATGTGTGTAGTTATTTGTGTATATGCATGTGTGTATTTGTGGTGTGTGTGTGCGTGTGTATGCGTTCGTGTGTGTGTGCCTGTGTCTGTGTGTGTCTGTGTGCCTGTATGTGTGTGTGTAGGTATATGCGTGCGTGTGTACGTGTGTATGTGTATGTGTTGTTCATTGTTGTTGAAGCAGCAACAAAGAATTTTCTACCGTCACTATTTGAATGTTTTGTTCCTCTTCATTTTGTTCCACAGATGACCGAGGCTGGTCGGACTGTAGTAAGCCATGCGGTGTGGGTTTCCGTGCCAGGATGGGACAATGTGCCTACAGCCCTCCAGCACTGTGTGGCGTTATTCCGGCCGACAAGCTATGTTTCCAGTCTCCCTGTAAAAGTACGTGAACATTATAAAAGCCATATATTCAACTGGTTATGTAGCCATGTATCATGAAAAGATAAGGCCTAATATAACTTAACGCATATAACCGTTATAGCTATTAACAAGCATATTACTGGAAGAAACTACAACCAACCAGACAATATCTTTCAAATCCTAGTTTCAAGTGCGATTTGATATTTAAAGGATCGGAGGTTACAATTATGTGGGCATATAGTCTCCTTGGTTACTTATTTAAGTATTACTTTTCGTTACCCACTGCTACATTGTAAATTGTTAGCATGTATACAAGCCAAGAAAGAAAATATTCTTATAAGCTACCATAACTGACAGATACATGTAAATTACCATTATGTATGTGTGGAGTGACGTAACAATATAGGCATAGACTGTATCTAATGTAACTCTTGTGGACAGTTTAGTTGCCCCGACGGCAGGACAGACTGCTATGGGACCGGTGAGGTGAGGTGAGGTATCTAATGCTGCTTCTCAGTGGTAAACAAATTCTTAAACATCTGTTTTCTTTATCAACAGCGCTACAAGAGGTGTTATACATTCCCATGGATTCCGTCGTGGCTTACCACATGCCTACCAACGCTCCCATCATCCTTAGGGCTTACCTCAGATTCAAGTGCTTTCATAACTCCCGGCATCCCCTGCCCCTATTCGGCACAGCAGAAGAAAATGGCGGGAGATATGTGACCTTGAAGTGGCGGTCGGGAATTTTAGAATTAGGATTTGACATTGGAACGGGACCATTAAAAATTGAAAGCTCCGTGTTACAGGTAAGATTGAACAACTGGATTTTAAGGAATAAAAGTAGGTGCCAAAATGCCTAACACAGCCAAATCACAAGTTGTATGCATCATAACCACATTGTGTTATAAAGTCTGTTTTTGTTGTTTTTAACGTTACAGTTAAATGTGTAGTTCTTGAAAATCAAAAGATTCCCAAAGGTTTTACATGTACACTAACGTGATTATGCCTTAACATGCTATAAAACAGTAACCATGGCACCAGCCCTCTGGTTCTAGGTGATTGACCTTTTTGCTTTGAAGAAGAAGAGGAAACTGAGCAAAAGCAATATGTTTTCCTTCGATAAACATAAAAAACGTTCTGTTTTTTTACAGAGAGATGAATGGCACAGCGTTTTGTTTACAGTAGAGCGGACCCAAGTCACCATGAGGGTAGACCACTCCCTGACGTCACTCAGAGAGGAAGTGCGTCACACCCGTGACGACATCCGGTTGAGGCATGACGGGTATTTCTGGCTGGGTAGCAGACGTGGAGGAAAGCAGACGAGTCAGACTGGTATGAAAGGTAGTCATAGTGCAAAGAAATGTACAATATTGATATACTACCATTAGATGATCGATGCTTTAAAACAGTGCATACCTTGTATGGTGTTTGGTCATTGTGTCATGATCACGAATGTCATGCTAATTGTCACCCTAACAAAATATGGAAATACAAATTTATTTGGCGAAAAAGATAAAAATAAAACAGACAAAATAAAAGGACAAATCTTTCGTCATTGTCGCTGAGGTCAAACGCCTTTTTTCAACAGTTACTTATATCAGCACAGTGCCAGTTGACGCTGTCCTTGGTACTGAAAATGCAGTGTGCCATCACATGCATGCCAGAATTACGAAACTTCTTACGTCTGGCCTATACCTGCATTTGTTTTCTTGCCAGTTTTGTGTGCCAGTGAAAATCAAACTTGTTTTTTCACAACATTTCTTATGTCTCTGTTCTTTGCATTTTATGAATAAACAGGTTCAGATTGTGACGTAGCTATGGTGATGCTGAATGGACAGCTGTATGACATCGAGGCCGGATCAGGAAAAACTAAAACCTCCCCCGTGGTCACAAGAGGAGTCAAGACTGTAGATGGTACAGTATCATCAATCATACAGCTCACTTGTAATGGAGATGTTACGAATGTGATCTTTGACATACGGATATGTAAAGTTCCTTCCCGCATCAATTGACGCGTAGGGCGGCGCCAATCTCTGTTTAGCCCTGGGCCACACAGTTGTGCAATCACTACAGCAGGGGGCTAGTCCACTGGTTGTGGTGTGTTTAACTCCCATACTCTTTCCCAAATGCTGTTCTACCTAACTTACACACATATTTCGACATGTTATCCGTTATACAAATTACCCCCCACATTTTTAACGATAAATGTTTTCTTTAACTGCAGATGAAAACGTTGACCTTGCCGTCTTTCACGGAGACCAACTCCTTCCTCTCGGAGCCGTCAAGCCTCGTTCTCGGGACAAGGACATTCTTTTGAAGGTCATCCTGTGCGCCAAACTGGTTGGAACCCACGGCATCTTGTTCGCCGCCGCCGATTCGAAGCTGGCGTCTGTGGTGTTGCTGTCATATCGGGGTAACACGGCGGAGGCAACCGTACAGTTCAGAGGAAGAGTGGCTAGGGTTGATGCTCAGAGCCAACTTCTTCATGTGAGAAAACTTGTCAATATGGGAATTAATTTCTTCGAGTTAACGTTAACGTTAGTACTTTAGGGAACGGACGTATTGTTTACGGTGACTACTAAGTTGTAGGTTGACAGCACGTGGGAGAGGGGGAAGTTTCTAGTATTAGACAGAGAAACAGGAAGGCAAAAGGTCAGACACAGAAAATGAGGTGAACTTTGCGGTCACGAAACCCCTAAATACTTCTCAAAAGTCTCAAATGTTCGATTTCTGGTTTACTTTGTTAATGATGTTTGTTGTTTGTTTGTTTGTTTGTTTGCATTTTTTAGAATCCACATAATGGTGTTGAATGAATTCCACATTATTCTTCCTGGAGTCCACAAGGGTGATGATGTATATTATAGAAAGTAAATTTTGTCAGTTGCAAATGCATAGAGCTTGAAATAAGAGGGAAAAACGTCAGAACTGCACCCATTTTCAGGAAGATTCGGTGATTGCCATCGAGCTGCTCGTCACGAAAAAGCACCTGATCCTCCGGACGCCGAAAGCGATGTTTCACACCGAGCACAACCTGCACCTGTCCTCGGCCGACCTCGCCTCTCTGACCGAGGTAACTTATACCGGACTTTGTTAGAGTTCATATGTTTCATTGTTTCACCAAAAATAGTTTCATGAGGTTGGTAATGTATAGGATATAGGAGTTTTCTTTCACACAATCATAATTTCTTACCTAAGTGCCGCAAAAGCGCAACCTACATTGCCTACATATAGCGACGAGAAATCCCCCCTACTATAAAATTGCAACATTCTGTAACCCAACACTAGTTACCATGGTAAGAGACAGTCTGGTTCAGGTCATTGACCAAATCAGAGGTGTTTGGAAAAGAGATAGAAAGAAGAAGAAGAAACGGAGCAAAAAGTATTTGTTTTCCTTCCGTAAACATTACTAGGTTTACGTCGGTGGCGCCCTGGTCGACTCCGGTCTTCCGGACGACATCGCAAACGGAGGAAAGTTTGTCGGGGAAGTCTACGAAGTGTGGGTGAACGACAAGCACTACAGCCCAACAGCCATGGACTTTGCGGATGTAAAAGCCCTGACATATCCAGGTAAACTTTTATTCTAGATTTTATCATAGATGGTCTAGCGTTAACATATGCGGTTCAGAAAATACTAGCATGGCAAAGTGTGTGGTGTGTTGAAAGTTGGAAAAATTGCACTAGGGGCAAAGCATGGAAAAAGCACGACAATTACTATGAATAGTTTGGAGTAGTTGTGCTGACTTTTAAAGCTATGTTTGCACTGAATGGAACCGGCCAACGGACCGACTAGTTTGCCTACCAGGATTCTAGTAGTTGTGTTCTAATATTTAGCGTGGCTTCATACATGTAACTGTATCATGCAAATGAGCACGACTTGCGTTTTCACATTAATCTCCAAGCAGATTCTGTGGGGCAAGGGGAGTCTATATTGGTCGCCTGTATCCATTGGCCTCCTGTATATTGGTGGCGAATATGGATACTAGCCTCCGTAGCAGGCTTATAGAACTGGGGGTTTGGTGGTCTTCGGCTGTTTTCTGATCAGCCCAGTTCTACAAAAGCGGGGATAATTCAACCAGGCCGGCTATGTTGTCTATATGCAATCAGAAAATAGCACATAAAATCTCCCAAAGACCCCCAAAACCCCCAGTTTGTGGCATTCTATGGAGGCTAAATGGATACAGGCTGCCAATATAGACTCCCCTTGCCCTATAGAATCTGCTTGGAAATTCTTATGATCTTTAATACTTTTCTCTGACGCCACATTTCAGTGAAGGTGACAGAGTTGGAGAAGCCTCTCGGGGACCAGTTTGTTCTCAGTTGCCATGACGACACGTCAACAAATCACGTTATGATGTCCGACCGGACGTGGAAACACGACGGACAGGAAATACGGAAAACGAAAAGAGTCTACGTGAAGAATACAAGAGCTCTAGAATCGGTAGGAAGACACAGTGCTTTCACAGATGATTGTGTCAGTTTTGTTTTTGATAGAGGGACGCCAGTGGACTGTAATGTCACTGGTCATCGTCGAAAACGACGAACGAACAACATACCCAGATAAAAAAGAAACTAACCTTCCTCTAATTGCTTCCCCACTGACGTAAAAAGTTATGTGTTAAGTTATCTCTCTATTTGCCCAATTTCTACTCTTTCCGGCCGCTCCCGAGGCTTAGTAGAGGCTAGGTAGAACTTACAACTTGGACAAAATCGTTCAGAATACAAAAGAATTCGTTGACCGAAAGCGTGTTGCCTTTCTGTATTTTTTTTATCTTTCCAACAGGAGACGATCTTTTCGCACCTGCACTTCACGAACTTCTCTCGCGATGAGAGCGGTGTGTACGTGTGTGAGGGGCAGCTGGCCGGAGTGAGCATTCCGCAGAAAGTCGTGATGCTGAAAGTACAGATGCCGCCAAACTGGACCTCAAGTGAGATCCTGCACAGAATGTTGGCTTCAACTGGTTTAATTTGACCTGATCTGCCTAGCTCTGGTCAGGCTCAGCTCTAGCTTTAAGCTAGTCTCCACCAGACTCCTCTGCAGGCTGAATAAATAGTAGAAATAGAAAAGTAATCAGTATCTGGCCTGGTGGAGATTATCTTTAAGCCAGGAAACAAAGGCCTCGTGGCCCAAATTACTAGTATATCATTTACGACTAGTTGCAGATCACGGTTCAATTAATACACGTTTGCTCTCTGAAGAAGTACGTTGTATGTACAGTTTCAAATTGGACTTTAGGTCCATGTTTTACATTGAATTTCTCCTTAGGCATTCCATACAACAACGCTTTTAGAGACGAATAAATCTTAAGAAACGACGTTATGGTCGTAATATTTCTGTTACTAATGCGCAATGTATTAATCATCCTATATATAGGTAAATAACGCTATATTGTTGCTGTTTATTTCAGTGTACGACCACCGTGATGTGATGTATTTGATCATCTTCCTGGCCATTGTCAGCGGTGCCTTCCTTGTCGGATTGGTTTTCTGTCTGCTCTGGTGCCGCTGTCAACCAAGGTTTGTGTTTTCCTCTAAAGCATTAAAAGACAAAAGCTTTGGTTAAACTGTTAACCGTGGCTTCATAAGCCAAATAGCTTTTTTTTAGTTCGGTGGAAAGACAAATGGTTCCTTTTTGACATAATTATTGTAGTTTTGTATTTGCATTACGGTATAGTCCATAGTTTTCTAAAGAACACTTTTACAGACGTTTGAATGTCAAGAAATGTCACATTCAAAATGGCCAAAATGACAGATAGTAAAAAAAATCACTTTTGTTATCTTGTTTTGGTCATCAAAGACAAAATTGTACTTGAATCATATGTATCCTACCACACATGTGTCCTTGCAATCTTACCTTACCTTCATAGGTGGTTTTGTCCACTGAATCTGATCCTGAACATCAGTGATTTCATTTCAGCGAAAACGGATGGAGACTACGGAGAGGACCACCCTCCACGCCTCCCAATCTACCGAAAGGGGTGAAAAAGGCAACCTTCAAGGAGACTATGAACGAGCTCAGATCTAAGCTAAAGACCATCAAACGCATGAGGCGAGAAAGCCGGGTTTTGGAACTAGAGGAAAAAGATCGCCTGATTTCTTCTGATGCTTCTGAGGATGAGAATCGTGACCAGAAACTTGCAGTTTTGGAGAACGAAAATAACCTGACAGAAGCGTGGGGTGAGAGCAGAGTGGGCTCTCTGAGCGAAATGAGAGACATCCCCGACGGTGCTCCCAAAAGTCCACGGTCAAGCCCCCTAGCGACTTCCAAGAAAACAGCAGGCTCCGTGCCATCTTTAGCAGTGGACATCAAGGATGCCTCAAAGAGACCAGATTTTGACAACACCAAGACCACGTCGATTGTGTTGAATCTTTCTAGCCACAGCAAAGAGGGGCTAGTAGGGCAGAGCAATAATATGTCTGAGGCAAAGGGAGAGAAACAAGTGGTCACGAAGGCAACGGCTGACTCGGAAAGAAGGATGTCCGTTCTCATGTCGCCCGCCCCGTTCCATCGAGCCAGCGCCGTGAAAACGAACGTTATATCGTCTGTTGATACATCAAGACTAGAACAGGCCTCACGCACATCTACCAACGTCAAACTTCCCAAATCATTCAAATCGAGACTTCCGTCGGAATCGAAGGTGTCGAAGCTGTCTTTGGGGGAGCCAGAAACTGCGCTCATGCCTCGGCTGTCGCTGTCGGATAGCACGAGAAGGAGCATAGAAAAACTAACTGCCTCTCGGCATAGCCTACTTGCCACGGATAAGAATCCAACAAAACCCCCACCTGCTGCAGGTCCTACTCCAAAAGGACCCTCAGAACCTCCACCCAAAGGCCCACCAGGACCTCCACCTAAAGGCCCACCCGGACCTCCACCCTCTCCAGGCCCACCCGGACCTCCACCCAAAGGTCCACCCGGACCTTCACCCAAAGGTCCACCTGGACCTCCACCCAAAGGCCCACCCGGACCTCCACCCAAAGGCCCACCCGGACCTCCACCCAAAGGCCCACCCGGACCTCCACCCAAAGGTCCACCCGGCCCTCCACCCAAAGGTCCACCCGGCCCTCCACCTACTCCAGGCCCACCCGGACCTCCACCCAAAGGCCCACCAGGACCTCCACCGCCCCCACCACTTCCACCCTGAAGAAGAAAAGGGTTTAGAATAACTGTAGCTGACTAGAGCTATATTTCCAGCTCATTCTAACTACAGCGTCTTTAGCACACAAGGCTATGGTTGACTGACTTGAGGCATGCTCAAATTCGCTTCACAAGTGTCGTCTGTTAGTGATGGGTTAACTAGTAACTAATTATAGGGTAAGTAGCAACAATGAAGAAGTTTAAAAGTGTCTTATGTTTTGGACATTTAAATGCTGAAACAATGTTGTGCTATGAGAAAATAAAATGTTGCTGTATATTGAATGCACAGTGTGTTTATGTAGTGCAGAATAAGATACAGAATAAATGCAAACCTGCCTGTCGTCCTGGCTTCTCACTGATGTTACTTTGGAGCCAATTTCTCACACACACACACCCCCATCCCTCCACACACACACAAACATACTACCATCCCTCACACACTTGTACTAATACACAATTGTAATGAGCCCTGGAAGATTAGCCCTAACGGGCTAAAGGGTATCGTAATAAACTGAATTAACTGAACTGAAACATACCATCATTGACACCAGCAACACACACACACACACAGCACACACATACACACACAAACACACATACCCAGTCACACACGCACACAGAGAGTCACACACACACACACACACACACACACACACACACACACACACACACACAATTACTTCAACTGTCAGTTAAAGTAACCCCTTTTACAAACAACCTGTCACCAATAACCAAATAGACAGTTGATAAGGACACCTTCAACAGATGATAGATCAGAAAAAGTGGTTTTATTTCTTCCTAACAAATATGATATGAGATACACAGATCCTGAGTATACAAATCCTGAACATTTTTTTTCTAGAACACATTCTACAGTCATTTTAGGCTCTCAATTCTTTCACACCAAGAACAGCCTCTAAAAGCAGATGAATGTGTCAGACTCTGTAACATTTGAAGTAAATTTACCTGGTTTACTGCATTCCTGTTGTCAAACACAATGCTGTTTTATGCACTACATGGTACATTTTTATTATTATCATTAACAAACATTTAATTCTAAAATAAAGACTAAGCTTTAACTTCCAACACTAACAAAGTATTGGGACTTACCCCACATCTTTCATAATGACTTGTACCAACTCAGATGAACTTAACATTGCTTAACATTTAATTCTGTTAGCTGCATTATGAAGTATAAACTAACAGCTCCTACAAGTCCATAGACTGATCCACACTGCCAATTAGAATATTAAGCAGATCAACAAATAGCTATAGAAAACAGAGGGAGGTCTGAGATATTTTTGCATCCAAGCATTTTTGTTTTCCCTTTTCCTAAATTTTGACAAAGGTAGGTGTGGCTACGGATCAGCAAATGGTTCAGCATCTAATAGGGCTACACACCAGGTCCTGTTTAAAAACTCATTAAAAACATATGCATGAACAATAGAATTACATAAATGTGAAACAGAGTCAAATAGCCATACATTAAATGTAGGTACAGTTAGATAAAAAATGTCATGATTATTCATATTTTAATATAAGATTTGCCTTTTCATGATTATACAAAAATAGGTCTCTTCCTCAACTACTTGTCAATGATATGCATGATAATTTTATTGTTAAAATATCCTTGTAATTAGTAAAATACACATGGAACAGAAGGAAAAATGCAGGATTGATTAATATATAGAAATATGCTCATTGACTGTTCCAGTTGTCATTTAGTCTAGAATTGAGTTTAAAATCTGTCAAGAATACTACATTTAATTTCAAATTGTAAAATTAAACTGCAACTTTTGAGTGTTTTACATAATCAATAAGGCTGTTTCTGTTAATCAACTTATAATCTATTAAAACCCATAGATAATGGTAAACCTTTGGTCCCTTACTCCATAACCTTTGGCCCCTTGTATAGTCTCTTACTTCATGACTTTTGGCCCCTTGAACCATAACCTTTGGCCCCTTGTACATATTGACCTTTGGATCCTCTTACTTCACGACCTTTGGCTCCTTGAACCATAACCTTTGGCCCTTTGTACATATTGACCTTTGGTCTCTTACTTCATGACCTTTGGCCCCTTGAACCATGACCTTTGGCCCCTTGTGGGATGCTGACTACATGGAGACGACTTTCATGTACGTGGCGACCTCCTCCACTAGATGTTGGTAACTGGTGCGAAAACCTCGAACCAACAGACCTATCGAAAAATGTACCAATAAGTGGGTGTAAGTGTCGATGTATCAGTGAGTGGGTATAATACTCAAATTATATAATCCCTACAAAGTTCACATTCACAAAAGCCCAAAACACTTTCCGGAGGTCTACGAACTTGAAGATCACAGAAGACTGAAATGTTTTGTGGGTTTGTACTTAAAAGTGTGTTGTTCAAAGACTGCTATATCAGTTTGAATATCATTCAGCACCAAGGACAGGGCTTATAATATACAAGAGACCACCACATGTACACATCATCCCACACACCGGGTACCCCTACAAGAGCCTCGAAAACCACTGACCTGACTTGTACATGTACTTCAGTCATTCAGCCAAAGATATGTTGGCAGAATCAAAAATGTGCAGTATGAATTTTGTAATGGTAAGATTCCTTATTTCTTGTGTCTGTTTGTAAAAGTGTGTTGTTCAGAGATTACTATATCAGTTAGAATGTCATTCAGCACCAAGGACAGTGGTTTCACAGTGGTTTCACCACTTACACACATCATACCACACACCAGGTACCCCTACGAGAGCCACGAAAACCACTGACCTGACTTGTACGACTGTTTCAACATCCCCCTTAGTGACCCTCGTACATCCACCTGTGCGAGAAACGTCATCCTGGTCTTGTTGGGACTCTTGGTGTCGGGTTTCAAAACCACTCCGGAAAGCTCAACTCTACAAAGTGTGGCGTCCTGGGTTTGGATATAAATTATGGATTATTTCAAAAGACAATTTGAATGCATTGTTGCCAACAAGAGTTCAAACCCCGGGCAGGTCATACCATTAAGACTTTAAAAAATGGTACATACTCCTTTGCTTAGCACTCAGCATCTATGAGAAAGAGTGTCGGAAGGTCAAACATACATGTACAACACTACCAGTGGGCTAGCCCCCTGCTGTAGTGCTTGCACAGAAATGGAGATGGGCACCACCCCTATGCTCTGCAAGAAGTGGAAATGGACCTTCTTTTTCTCTTCTATTGCCAACATTTGCCAATACACAAAAACACATATTACAAGACTATCAAGTTCTTCCAGTTAACCATGCTTTAAGGTCAATGAACAGCACTGCCTATCTCACTACTTCAGTACTGCATCCTGTGCTAGAGTACAGTATTATGAGGGCACAAAAGTGTAACTTTTAAATATGAATTGATTGGGATTAACAATTATAAGGATTCGAATGAAAGCTCATCTGTGTTGGTAGAATACATAGTTAAAGAGTTTGACTTGTTCCAACAAATCTGATGAAGGTTGACGGGATCAGCCGAAAATTTATGGTGAGTTCTCCTTATTGTGTTGGAACAAGTCAAACTCTTTAACTAATTATAAGGATTGAGTATACACATTAAGAAATATTTCTTATATAAATGCCTGAAGAATGTGTCTCATTCTAGGAAGATGATGTCAGACTACAAACCTTTTCAAGAACAAAGTTTTCATGTGCTGCAGACAGTATCATCATCCCTGAGGAACAAAAGCAATAAATACACATCAAATGGTGTCAAGAAAGTTCATCTGTGTTGGTAGTTAAAGTCTAGAGTTAAAACTTTTATTTAAAAACTTTAGTTTCAAAACTGTTCAGAAACCATTGTGGCCATTATTTCTTCTCCATACTGCAGAGGTTACAGGTAACAGTGAATGCAGAACATAAAAATCCACATACACATTCATGTATATTTTTCAATTATATAATTTTTCTGTTATAAACGGGAATCACAGGATGTTATCCTAAAATATGCAAGTACAACCTTAAAAAAGAAGTTCTGCTGTAGTGCTACTGTAGCGTTACAGGCTTTGTGCAGTACATGTACATTCTGCCCACATGTTCATCAAAATGCCCTGGGTATGAGATCACATTTCCAACATCACAGTACCTGGAAATGAGATCAACTATACTAACCACTGGTGCAGTCGGACGTGTCCTGCTCGGTGACCCATGACCTCAGAACGCACACCTCGCGCGGGGTCATGCCTGGCAGTGATGTCTTGTAGTGCCACTGTACGACGGAGTTCGCTCGATCAGGGTCAATGCTCTGTAGCACTCTCTCATCTCGAAAGAAGTAATCCAGCTATATGTTGAAAACAAAAAAGAACAGAACAGGGTTTCATTGAAGAGGTTTATCAGTCATATAAAATTACAGTTAGCCTAGAATATTCTTCAATCAGTAACTGTTTTTGAAAGGTCAGTCCTATTAACCCCTAACTCCGCAAGGAGGCGGGGAAGGCCAGAAGATCCGCACAAGTCTCGACCTAGTCTTGTGTTCTCGCTAGACTAGGTCACTAGTCAAGATGTACAGTTGATATAAAAAATTGGAGGTACATGTTTTTACCTTTCAAAAACAGTCACTTATTGAAGAATATGATATTCTACTAACCAGAACAGTGTTTATCAGTTAAGTCTCCACCAGACTCATTTGCTGGCTAAATAAATAATTAGAAATCGGCCTAAAAAGAATGTAGCTGGCCAAGGTCCTTTTTCCGGCCATAGAGACACATAGGAAACAAAGCCTGTTTGGAGGTAAAACAGCAGACTACAGATGCCAACCTTGCCACCCTCTGCACATGCCTGCTGCAAGAAGCTGTAGACGATAGAACAGGGGGCTTCAACTGTACCATCCACCTGTAATGATGTAAACATACAGCAAATAAAGATATTATAATATAAATTATTAAGAACTTCCTCCTTCGTTATGGAAACTATACTCCTGATTTGCATAATACTCAAATCATGCTCTTAAGCCATACTGAAAATAACAACAATCTCTCATTCCCTGCAAGACATATGTCACATTCCTGTGTCCTGTACAATTTCTAAAATCCCTGCATGCTGATTATATAGTACATAGTCTATTAGGATTGCCCCTGAGTAGGAGGTTACTAAAAACAATCATTTTATACAAGAGATCGCCATGACGTCATGGTAGGTGATGGTTGATTTGCCTACCAATATGTCTTCAAATAATTTGCATTTATATAATGTAAACAAAAACAGCAATCCCTGTCTATAATTTAGCTATCTAAACATCCTTTATTTTATCACAAAAGACTTATTCTTTATTGTTATGATTGTGGTAAAATGACAACTACTTAAGATTTAATGTAAAATTGTAAGCAAAACTTTAAAAGCGTTGTACCATGATGATTGCATATGGCTGCTCTTTGAATGACATCCTGGCAACAGCCACGCCCTCTTTACTCTCCCACTTCTTCCATTGGTCCACGGGCCTGTCAATCATCTCACAAAGCCCCTCCCACTGCTGTCAGATCAAAGAGAAAATATTTATCAATGTGTAAGCATTAGGAGAGTAGAAACAGAAAGATACTCCTGGTCCCAGGCTGGGAATCGAACCCACGCCAAAATCAGCCAGTTAGTAACTCCCAGGGCCGGTGTTGGATCCTGACTGTAAGAATTAGGACTCAGAGTAGAAACAGAAAGATACTCCTGTTCCCAGGGATCGAACCCACGCGAAACTCAGGCACCAGTTGACACCCCTACACTCTAACTATTTGGCTAACAGGATCAGTTGGTACTAGTGCCTACTCTCATCTGCCGAATAAACATACCCCCCGGAATAAACGTACCCCCCGGACAAATCTTCAAAATCAAATAAACATACCCCCGGAATAAACGTACCCCCCGGAAAATTACCAAAATTGACGGGTAACCTGTGTCTCTTGTACTTAAATGCGCCCTTACTGATATATGCACAAATCTTTAACTGTTATTTGTAATTAGGAATTGAAATAGACAAAAAAAAGGGGCATTTAATATTTCGTATTTTGATAAGCACCACCCATGACAATAGAACATTCAGACGAATTTATGCACGCGGTGATTGCAAAAACCGGCCCGAAAATGACAAGTTTCTCGCTACAATATGCGTTTATAAACGTCTTCACGTCGATGATTTGTCAATTTTTTTCACACGAAGTTGAAAAAAATTACTGGTTTTCAAAAAAATAATAAACGTACTGTGCAAAATAAGAACGTACTGGGTGGATGTTCGGGCCCAAAAAAATAAACGTACCCGTATGTTTATTCGGCAGATGAGAGTATAAACCTGCCACTGTTACAATTTCAACCCTGGTGGTCGACCAAAGATTAGATCTAAAGTGGTTTGACAATGTAAGGGAGGACTTCCACCACTTGAACCTGGTACATAATGTCAGGTTGAAAAGAAAATAGTAAATAGTATACATAATATATACAGGAGTCTAAATCCCTCCTGCTATAAAACTGCAACATGATGTAACCCAACACTAGTTACCATGGTGACAGACATCTGGTTCAGGTCATTGACCTTATTTGTATAGAACAGAGGAAGAATAAAAGGCAGAAACTGGATTTAGTGAAAGGGAGGAAAGGAAAAAAATTATAAACAATACCTGCATTCTCCATTTTGGGTCCTCATATTTTTGCTTGGTCACTGTGGCACCAATCTCAGAGGTAGGAAGAGTTTGGACCTTGTTTTTCATTTTGACCCTGACAGTGGATTTTCTCTTGAGCGCCCGGTCTGGTACACCCTCGATAGCAGCTCCTATTGTAGCCATCCACTCCAACTTGTCTTCTTCACTCTCTGGATATAAAACAACACAAAACTGCAGATTTTTCAATTTTTTGTTCCTTTCCTAATGCTATTACCTTGTTACACCCTTTCAACTTAAATTAATAATTTCGTAGCATTAGGTGATAGCAAAAGCCGCAATAATGAACCCACTGCAAACATATCTCAGAGTCTGTATTAACTATATGCTGCCTTGTAGTAAAGGCCATGTTGATATGATGGATTCCAAAGGAAAAGAAGAAAATGTGAAGAAATGAAATTGAAGAGTCAGCTATTTGCCATACCATACTGTGTATTTGTGACTTGTTCAACCTTCAGGACCACATACTATTATACTATGATGATTATTAGGCATAATGAAGGAAGGTTTTTAACAAACATTTTTTAATTTGCACAATAATATCTTGGGGTTCCCAGAGCATGTCATCCATATAATCATACCAACATAACCTAAAGGGATTAAAAAATAATTCCCCCCTCACCACAGCTCAGGTAGTACGTTCTTGTTGCCCCGTCATCCACAAGTTTCCCGACAGCGAAGGCGTGAGGCTTCTTCACTCTCTCCCCGGCCTCAATCTCACGCGCTACATCTGGAAAAAGTTAAAGTTTACCATGTTACTAGTAATTAACATAACAGAACTAGAAGAAGAAGGTCTCCCGTGCTCTTATACCGAGTGTAGGGTGGTGCCCATCTCCATTTCGCAGCCCTTGGGGCGACACACAATGTGCAAGGCACTACAGCAGGGGGCTGGTCCGCTGGTAGTGCTGTGTGTTTGACCTTCCCACACTCTTTCTCATATGTGCTGAGTACCTAAAGCAGAGAATACCATTTTGTAATTTGATATGACCCGGCTGGGGTTTGAACTCACGACCTCCCAGTTACAAAGCGAGCACTCTACCTGATTGAGCTATTGCACCGGTAAATAACAGAACTAGAGATAAACTTTAATTGTTAAATCTACCATTTTAAAGCAATAAGATACCAACAAACTTTGATTTTCATAATTGATTTTCATGCACACACTGTCACATAATTTCGCATAATTTAGCCAATCAGGATAGTTATCAATTAAATTGCATAAATTTCAGTTGTCAAAAACTGTATATAACTTACAGTTACTTGTCAGTCTGACCTGGCCTCTTGGATCTTCATCTTTTATTGCTCTGTGAAAAGAAAGTCAACTCTGCATCATTTATATTGTACATCAAAATTATTTGCTACTTGATACTATAGGACTGGTGTAAAGATTTAATCTCAGGTATAAACATACCCAGGCATACTGGGTCAAGATCCCTTACTTGAGGGTCTGCATGTGGGATAGTGATTATGAATTACCCAAAATCTTCACCACCAATTACGTCAAATTCTCAGAGCTGATTGCGAACAATTACGTGTTACAGCAAGCTAATGCACCCGACTGATTACACATTTGATTTTGGGCAGCTGCCTACGGATTATAAAGACTATAAAGGCCTGATTATGCCTTACGAAAAAGGGCATGCAGGCCCTCTTTTGACGTATACGTACTTGTAATAGTACAAGGTGACGTCCGCTCCCCTCTGAACCAGCCTGAACCACCTCCGGTCCCAATGGTACTGTCCGAACAGGGCCTTTCCACTCAACTTGGAGGCCCAGCCTTCTTTCAAAACATCATGACCTGAGAAGGGAAACATTAAGTATTAATTTAATTCAAGATAAAATTCATGTAGATTTTACAAAAATGCTTGCACACAAATGTGGATATCAAAATATTATGGCCACACCCACTTGTGACAAGGACCAATTTGATTTTTAATTATTAGATGCAATAAATCATTATCAATCAATAATTGATAACCAGCTTCCCAAGATGGGCTTAATTAATATTATATGTTTATAACGTTTAGCTGTTTTATTACAATATCCAAGCAGATGTAAGTTGCCCACTCTCAGGGTTGAGACGACACCAGTTTTTCTTTAATACTTAATTGTCTTTTCTAGTACTGTATCTATGATAGTTCGCCTCTGACTTAACAGTGATATCCGTGATACCAGAGGAAGTTACCAATGTTGAGAAATCAGACGTGAAACGCCGAGAATCCTAACATCTGCCTGAACTGTTTTGGCCATTATAAACCCTAAATTTCTGTGCCTCTCAATCTCAGAGGAAATTCTTTTTGCCAGTGTTGATAGACATTATGTTAGGTCTGCCTTACTTTAATTCTGTCCCTTTCCCGGGATATGATTTTCAACAGCACACTAGCTGTAGTTTTGCAGACCCTAATACTTTCGTAAACACCTATTATTTTCAATAAAACGGAAGAAGGCAGAAACCCGGAAGTGGCCAAAACTACAGTGTTACAAATCGCAGTACTGTATTTTTTCCACAAGTACGAACCTCGAAGTTGAACTACGGTCCCACCAGCTGCGTTTGCCTCTGCTTCGGGCTTGGCTCCGGTTTGAGTTGACATCTTGGTGGTGTTCTTTCCTGGCGTCGTTTTATCGCGGCTGAACCGACAGGACCGCCATCTTTACCTTTTTGTTTACCATTTCTCTTTCAACTACCCGGTATCACTTTCACCGCTAGGGTCAGGCAATGGACATCAGCGCCATCTACCGAAGATATTCAGAACTGCAAATGGGCCGTTAAGAAAATAACTGAGGAGGGGGGAGAGGTCAGATTTTACATAGGGGGGTTAGTGGGTGTGGATTTTGTTGGATTTGGATTGAGAGAGGTTTACAAGAAGAAAACCCTGGATTTGGACGAAATTATAGGGGGTCAAGTCACTTGGATAATAATACGCCTGGTCAAGTATTGGTTAAGACTGAGGCAACTAGACGCTAATACACATCCCCTACAAGTCGACGCTTTACTATCTCAAAAACATATGTTAATGCTTGGTCACAAGAAAACTGTGCTACACCATGTGAAAGAAATACTTGACCGCAGTGGTTTCTCATATATCTGGCATAACGACAACATCGATCTCGATAAGCAACACATATGTACATTACTTAGAAGTAGACTCTCTGACATGTATATCCAAACCTTTCTTTACAATCTCTCTGTTGATGTCGGTAAGCTAAGATTTTATAGACATCTGAAACCTGTATACACAATGGAACGTTATCTTCACATCAAAGACTTCGATGTTAGATCAGCCATATGTAAGCTTAGAGTTAGCGCTCATACATTAGAAATAGAAAAGGGTAGATACAAACGTACAATTACCTGTTAACGACAGAATATGTAAATATTGTACAGGAAACGCAGTGGAGGATGAAATGCACTTTATTTGTCATTGCTCTCATTATAGCACCGAAAGAGATCAGTTATTTGAAATGGTCACCAAAATGTTCCCCAGCTTTATTCACCTTCCCAGCCTACAAAAAACTGCATTTCTATTAACACCTCCCAATTTATATATCTCGCAAAACGTCGGCCATTTCATACTCCACTGCACACGGAAAAGAAATCAAACCCAACAATAACTACAAATGTATATATAAAGTAGCATTAGCATCACTTATTATCATTCTACTGTTTACTGTTGTTATCATGTTCTTGCAATTAGCCCTCGGGCATGAATTTGCAATAAACTTTCATTAATAATGAAAGGGGAGTCAGAAAGTAGAAGCTCTTCGACCCCCTCCAATTTTTTTTGGAACAGCCCAATACTGGACTCAAATGACAAGTCTTTCTGAGGGGTAACGGGAGATGAGAATGTTTGAATTTATTGTATAGTATTCAAATGTACAGTTAGATTTTAATAATGATAACGATCATGTCTTTCTATTACAACCCATTTTATTCTTCGAGAACCCCCATGCACGCCTTCATACTGATCTGATATGACCTTATGCGTTGTCGAAAAACCCCATTCAGGCCCTTTTCATCTGACCAACCAAATCGTGACGATTAGTCTAATAAGCGCAGATGACCAATGGGAGAAGTGCATTTTTCTGACCAATGGGGAGGCTGTAAAGTGCATTCTTCTGACCAATGAGCGTGCCAGGATTCTGCTCAATCGACCAATCGCAGGCTAGAAGTCTTCCCACAGGTGGTTGGAAGTTTATAAAGCCTACGCGCGCAGAGCGGGTGCGTTATTAGTCGATATCCAGCGGCTCCCAAAGCACGAAGGGAAGATGGCCGCTCTTCTATCGGCACGGCGGTCTGCAAGCCGAAATGTCTGGCCACATGTGCAGAATTGGAGGGGATCCAGAAACTTGAAGTTAGCTTTGAGATTTCCAAACTTGTGTAAGTCTTTTTTTTTTTTAATTAGTTTTTCAGTTAAGTTGGTCTCATCGAGACATTACAACTGTTTGGCTAGTTTTGGTCACATCTAGGCATTGACATTATTTGTTAGGCTAGTTTGAAGAATTTAAGACATGACTATTGGAATGTCCCTTTCGAGAGTTTTGCTCAAGTTTATTATGAAGATAACTAATTCATGAGACTAGTTGTTAAAGGTTAGTTGTAGTGTTACAAATGTAAGGTTGACTGTAGTGTAGTGTTAAGGTTTTATTTTGTTTTTCAGTTCAGTTTGCAGTGAAAGTCTTTTGTTTTCACTTAGCCTTCATCTTTCGGGTATTTTGCCTCTATTCTAGTACAAGTTGTGGCCACCTTGTCCTAGAATGGATCCAAAATATGTGAATCACATGGGCTTTGAGAGCAAAGGTCTTTCCATAAATTAGGCTATAGGGTAGTTATAATCAGGTTAGGTTTTAGTGCTAGAGAATTGTAACAGTTTTTTTTAATTCTAGCTTTGAAAACGCCTGAGCAACACACTGGTTTTCAAATGTTTAACACAATTGTAATGCACATTTGTACAGTATTGTAATGCAATGTATCATTGTACAGCCCTAAGCTTGTGTATGATGTAAGACAAATGTTGCTCAGGTTATACGTTTCTGTAGTAGTTGCCTGCTAAGCTAAATTCCTCGTACTTACCAGTTGTGAGTTGTCGAATGTATGTTTGTCATTGTGTATAAAGCAAGGGGTAATTCTGTATAAAGCAAGGGGTAAATTGGCCACATAGGCATTAAGATTAGTTCTTGAGGGCCAGGTTTCCATACATCTGTTAGTCATCTAGTTTTAAAATTAGTTGTAGTCCTCTAGTCTCGAGGAAATTGTATCAATAAGTCTAGTTGTAGTCCTCTAGTCGCAAGACGATTGCATTAGTCTATTGTTAATCTTAGTTGTAGTCTAGTATTAAGTTACTTGTAGTCTAGTGTTAACTTTAGATGTTCAGTAAAAGGCCTTTTGTTCTCTTTGTCTCATCTACATGTGGTGTTAAGGTTAGTTAAAGTGTTACAAATATAAGGTTAGTTGTAGTCTAGTGTTAAGGTTACTTGAGTTGTTTTCATAGAAAGGCCTTTGTTCTCGCTTAGCCTTCATCTTTCGTGTATTTTGTCTCTATTGTAGTACAAGAAGTGGCCACCTTGTCCTAGAATAGATCCAAAATATATGAATGCATTGGGCTTTGAGAGCAAAGGTCTTTACGTAAATTATAGGCTTCAGGTGCTAGGACATTGTAGTGAGATATTGAAACCCAGCTTTGAAAATACCCGAGTAACACACAGTACACTTGTGATCAATAAATGTTTCAAAAAGTCTTGTAGTTTTTTATTGAGTTTGACTTATGGAAAGGAACTTCTGGAAAGGATCTGAACAAAAGAAAACTAGAAGTGTACTAAAAGTCCCACGTAGTAAGATTGAAGTATTCTCCAATCCCTCATACTGTACATTTAACACGTGCACTTGAAACACCCATTAAGAATTCTCCATAAAGTACTAGTATTACAATAATCAAAGAAATTGGGTAAATGATTGTTTTACGCATGAGACTGAAATATGTTACAGTAACAACTAGCTAAAGTGCACAGTGAACCTTGCCCTGATGAAGGTGACAGATGGTCACTGAACACTGGCTCTTGTAAAGCTTGAGTGTTACACCGAAGGGCGGTTATACCGGCTATACAGATACAGAAACTGTTGTCAATAATGTTAACATTCGGCCTGCTCTCGTTTTTTACATGGTCTTAGTGCACAACTGTCATATCTATTAACCTATGTAGCAAACTATTCAGACAGTGCTGCATTCTTCTAAGCACTATCCGCCAACTCAAGCCCTTCCATTGAAGTAGAGGGAAAGTCATCTTTCCGCTGGTTCTTGATGTAGAGCACACCAGCTATTATAGAACCCAGCAACAGGCAACAAAACAAAACGATGAGGACTTTAGATTCGGCATAGTCCTTCCACTTAACAGTTTTAGACGGGATGTTTGTCGATGCCGCCTTTCCGTTGCCGCCCCTGTTCTCCCTGTGTTGAGGGTTATCCGGAACATCCTCACTTTGCCCGGTACCACCAACGCCCTGCAGTTCGTCACTAGAACGCCAGGTGGCGTGCGCGGGCAGGAGCAGTCCACCGGGGTAGCCGTAGCCGTCGTAGTCCGTGTAGCCGTACACGGAAACACCGAACGTCACCGTCGGAGACTGGTGGACCAGGGTGTGCGAGCCGCACCTCAAAAGACAAAGAAAGACAAAGATAAACTAACTGGAAAGTTTACAGAATCAAGCTGCAAGGTTCTGCATGAACAACTATGAAAGGTAGCCTGGGTTCCATCCTGGTTAGTTTACGTCCGCTCCCACAGTCGCTACCACCAACCAGACTGGTTGGTGGTTGGTGGTAGCGACTGTGGGAGCGGACGTAAACTAACCAGGATGGAACCCAGGCTATATGAAAGGGGTCATAACGTTATAGCTAGTGTCACGGAAGTGAAAAGAAACCTAGTGGGTGTCACTGGAAGACAGACGAAAAATGTCCAGACTATGCACGATGTACAAATGACTACTAAACTGACATACAGATACAGATACAGTACCTCACATCCACCCTTGCAGCCGACATCTGCGTGTCCGGTATGAGGAACCACTGGGTGTCGGGATCCAGAGGGTTATCGTCCAGCCGAAGACCTTCCTTCTCTGAGGTTTTTACCACGATGTTGAGGTGGTAAGTACCGTACATGTGGAGGTCGGCGAAGTCGACGGTGAGGAAAGAGTAGTTGGCTGCGAACTGCGACACCGCCGGGACCAGCATCATAAAGGGGTCCGCTCGAGCCTGGTCCACTGTTTTGGATTTACTGTAATCGAAGGAATGGAAACAAAACTTAAACAGTATTAAACTAAATGTAACTCACTATCAGGATGACACTTCATTCCAAGACTCTTGTCTGATGAAATTGAATGAGAGTATTTGGAAGAAATAGATGAGAAAATAGAGTTAGTCCGCTAGAGAGTACAGTTTGCCGGTGCGTGTGCAGCAAACTGTACTCTCTAGCGGACCAACTCCACATGTATGTTATCTCTCTCTCTCTATTTGGCCAATTTCTACTCTCTCCAGCCTCCTCCCGAAGCCTGGTCGAGACAAATTTACCTGTACTGCACAACTAGGACCGGTTTGCTGCTGACCAGGTGTTTGTAGCTATAGGACGGCAGGTCGAACTCCCAGAATTCGCCGGCGTGTAACGTGCGTGGATCGCTTCCGGTCAGGTTAACCTGCAACAGGTATTCGAGAGGCAGACCTTCAAATGTACAGGTGTAAACAGTAGGTACAGCTACGTTCAGAATTATTATGTTTACCGAAGGAAAACATATTGTTTTTGCTCAGTTACCTCTTCTCCAAACACATAAGGTCAATGACCTGAAGCAGACGTCTCTCACCATGGTAACTGGTGGTGTTGGGTAACATAATTTAGCAGACCAGAGTTGGAGAGCCTGATCATCATACATCAATTAATGTATTTGGCTTTGAGTAAGAATAAACAGAGCAGTGGTTTGTTTGTTTGTTTGTTTGTTTGTTTGTTTGTTTGTTGGGCTGGACCAGGTGAAGGTAACCATTATGCATTTCTAGTTTGTGTTGATACTGTTATGAAAGTTCATCTGTGTTGGTAGTTACATGTTTGAAGTTAAAACTTTTGTTCCAACACAGGGTTGTTCTCACCTGGAGCTTCAGACCTGTCACTCTGACCAGGGAAGCCACATGACAAGCCTCACTGGGTCAGTCTATTGAAGACGGCCAGAGAAGACCAAACCTTAGCTATGGGTGAGAACTATCCCTTGTTGTTGTAGTTGTAAAGTTAAACTTTGTTCCAACACAAGAAAGGAACACACCATAAACTTTCGGTCGAAAGGACTGATCTTCACTGGTCTTCTTCAATAGACTGACCAGTGAGGCCTGTCACGTGACTTCACTGGTCAGAGTGACTAGTCAAAAGCTCCAGGCCAGGGGAGAACATCTCTCTTCAACAGAAGTTTTAACTTTAAACATGTAACTACCAACACAGATGAACTTTCATGACTACGATGAAGCTTTGCAAACCTGAGTGCCGTCTCTGGCGGCCAGGACGCGGAAGACGTCCCCCTGTTCTCTCCCCTTCAGCGCCACGAGTGCGAACTCCCTCCCCCAGCCGTGTACCTAGGTGACATTGATAGCACGAGTTGTTTGTGGGTACTAGTGCTGCGGAAATGTAACATTTATTCAAGTAATTTGCCCATACAACTATTTATATTATGGTGGTCAATTAGGATGTCTAGTCTTTCCTCCAGTCTTGTTATTACCTTGTATAATACTGTAAATGTTAGCATTTCATATATGTCTGCAATAGATTGTTTTAATGTTGAGCTTTAAACTGTTATTTTTAGGTAATTAACGTGTAATGATATGGATTTTATTGAATAACTTAGCAATTTTAATTTGTTTGTTTGTTTTGTTTGTTTCGCATAACCGGTAAACCGCCTTCAGGCGTAACACACCAGTTTTGTACATGTGCGCACATGTACAAGCTGCGTAAGACCGGACTGTAAGTTTTGAACCACTCACACCGGGAAGATCCCCTACTCTTTTCGATAAGTGCGGTGGGTTCTTTAACGTGCATGGGGTGTGGCTCTCCCAAACACGGGACCTCCATTTAACGTCCTATCCGAGGGACGTCCCTAACCGAAGCTAGGTACTCATTTTCGCCTGAGTGAAGTGAGGAAAGTCGTGTAAAGTGCCTTTCCCAAGGGCACAAGATCGGTGACATGGGCAGGGTTCGAACCCACAACCTCTGGGGTGTGAGCGGAACGCGCTACCGACTGCGCCACACGACCCCACTATTGTTATGCCAGATATGTCAAGAAATCAAATTGTACAGCAAGACACAATTTAGCCAACTGCTACAAGTTCTTGTTAGTTTTCACAAATGAATCATTTGATTGATTGATTGATTGATTGATTGATTGATTGATTGATTGATTGATTGATTGATTGATTGATTGATTGATTGATCGATTGATTGATTGATTGATTGATTGATTGATTGATTGACTGATTGATTGATTGATTGATTGATTGATTGATTGATTGATTGATTGATTGATTTATTGATTGATTGATTGATTGATCGATCGATTGATTGACTGACTGACTGACTGATCGATCGATTGATTGATTGATTGATTGATTGATGCACCGGAGGAATCATCTCCACGATATGCGTCCCGGAGCCCCTGACTGACTCTTGGTGCCCCACGCTGGCGAACAGGTTACCGCTCAGGACAGCCACCGGCTTGTTGGAGACAATCCTGGAGCCTGTGGGAAGAAAAGACAGTTAACAATAGGAAAAACCGTTAACAAACTTGATCATTTTATTAGGTAAGCTTTTCATATTTCAGTCCAGGTCATTTAAAATTTTTAATTTCGAGTCCTTTAAAAAACTAGTAACTTTCCGTCAAAAGACAGAATATAATACGAATACCTGATTGCGTCTCGGAGAGGGAAGCTGGAGAGGCATCGGGGTAAGTGGGGTACTTTCTGTAAGGCTTATTTATAGATATTACTTTATGTATAAGTCATTTAATGCTTATGTACTTTACTTTATGTAGTAGCCATTTAATGCTAATTTCAAGATCGGTGTCATGTCAGGACTCGAACCCGGGACCTCTTGGTTCCGAGTCGAGCACTCTGCCGCTACGCCACACGACCCCACACATCTAACTGATAGATGGGCAGTTAGGATCGGTCTATACTCTATACACACTTACCCGTCAGGTCGTCGCTGCTCTGAATCTGCAGAGTTTCAAACCTGTCCAGCGTGGTCGTGATCGTCTCCGTAGCGAAATACGTCCGGTCCTCGAAAAGCACGCGTTGTTTTGGTACAATGGTGACGGTGGTGTTATCATATACTCCCACAACCCCGAACTCTGCAGACAAAATCCGAACAAACAAACTGAGTATCAGAATACCCTGAAATCAAAGAGAAGGTGGCTAGGTGTAGGTCTTGCCAATGTAACTCATCAAGTTGTTTTGGTACAATGGTGACGGTGGTGTTATCATATACCCCCACAAGCCCGAACTCTGCAGACAAAATCAGAACAAACAAACAAACAAACAAACTGAGTATCTGTACACCCTAAAATAAAAGAATACGTGGCTAGGTGCAGGTCTTGCCAGTGTAACTCATCAATAATTAATACAATATATCGGAATGTGTCGTGAACCAACAGCCTGCAGTGTACATAAAAACAAAATACTGTGGCCGTCTTCGGTCCCGCAAGCTTGGTTTTAAGACGACCTTGGGCTCCGTTCACTGGAATACGCCGTAAGCGCCTTCGATTCGGATTCCACCGAAGCCGGATTCAAGTGGCCCCATCTGAACGCTCCAAATCGGTTTGAAAGGAACGTGTGGCACGTGGACCAGATGTGAGGAATGCGATTTACACGCATCGCGGTTCAGGTGGTTTCGTATGAACAAGGCCTTAGTCTCAAGATAGCACAAGTAACAAACCTAGTAACATACCCAGTGTTGACGTCACACTTCAAAGAAGCCACGTGACAGGCCTCACTGGGTCAGTCTACTGAGGAAGACCAGAGTGACTGGTCGAAAGCTCTACATGTAGGTGAGAGAACTTTTTATGTTGAACCAAAAGTTTTAACTTTAAACAAGTAACACACCTGACGGAATGTGAACGAACCCCTCCTCCGGGCGGTTCCTGGTGATGGTATTACAGGGCACCAGGTATTCCGTCCCCAGGGCGTCAGTAGGGAGGCCTAAGTACGCGTCAGACGAGTCGCGCTCCGTGAAGACACCGTAAACCTACAGCAGATTTAACACACCAGCATGAAACTTCGAACCTTGGATATCGAACTGGATTACTTCAAGTGAGGCATAAAAGAGGCCATATACATCAGGGCACTTCAACCTTCGCTCAACCGGGACGGGGGGCGATATCGACTTCAGACAACCTTTGACCCTTTGCTGACGTCACACGTGGGAAAAATCACGTGTCCACAGCATTTGGGTCAGATAGCTGAGGAAGACTGAGTGATTCAGTCGAAAATTCCGGTGAGTGAAGTTTATAAGTTGGAGAACAGTTTAAATTTTTCATAATAGATTAACACACATTATAGTCTTGACCTGCCATGTACTTGGACCACTTCTTGTGGGTGTAGTTCTTGTATTGCTTCTAGACCTAAGTCTTATTTCAACACAATTTATGCTAATTATTAGATATACTTGAATTATGCTTAACCTTCTATTCTGTGTATCTTTATACTTGATGTCATTGACTACGTAAATCTTGATGTTGTATATGTGTTTTTGTATGGGGGAGGGCAACTTGTAAAGGCGCCTATGCACCTGTTTTGCCCTCCTTTTCACTTTGTGAAAAATCAAAATAAACAGAAATAAACCATGATGTCGTTGTCCGCCTGGATGTGGACCGCATGTCGGCCTTTCCTGCTCCCCAACATCTCAACACCGTCCCGCGGGAGCTCAACTGTCGCTACCTAAACAAAAGTGGCGTGAAAAAAAGGAGGACTGTTAAATCTAGTGATCTGAATATTTGATTTAAGGTTTTAAGGACACCAAAATGCAACATATTCTTATCATCTAATATCTACAACGACAAATAGATGAACGAAAGCTAATCTGCGTTGGTATAATCCATAGTTACAAAGTTAGTTGGAACAACGCTTCAACTTTGCAACAACAAATACATGAGTACGAGTATGATTCAGTGATGTTTTTATGCATACTGTATGTTGTGCCCTTTGACTGAATATAACAATGCAATGTCGTGTCTTGTAATATAAATGAAAGACCTTTATTATTGTATTGGAAAACAACTATTGCAGGCCTAGTAACCCAGCCATCCTGAGATAGATATTCGAAGGGTAACGTTTGCTCTGTTAATTCTTACTCAAACACATTCATATATATATATATATATATATGGTGACGGTAGTCATTCCTTCTATGGAATTGCAACACTAATTACCATGGTGACAGACGTCTGGTTCAGGTCATTGACCTCATTTGTTTTGAGAAGAAGCAGAAACTGAGCAAAAACAATAACGTTATGTATGTTTTCCTTGGGTTAACATAATAAACAAAAACTAACCTCGCCGAATCTAACGTTGAGTTTTTCGGTAAATCCGACGAGCGGCACATCCACAACCACCGATGCCAGAGCGGGGCTGGAACCCGTGACGTGGAGCCGAGGCCGGTGTCCGTCCCGCTGGAGGTTTTGGATGAACGACAGAACGAACTCAGTCCCTTTGGTGTCCCAAAGGCCATTTTCTAAAAAGAAAATAAAAACACCTGTATTGCACGTTTACGCCCTTACAAGCCAAGCACATGCAGGGCCAAGCATATTGGCCCTGGAGCCCAGGAACTGGCCTGTGTAGGCCCTAGAAACAGTCTGGCACCCAGGCTATCTGAGAGGCACTGTGGAATAGTTACCTTGGGAGCATGTTGGCCCTGGAGCTGAGGAGCTGTCCTGTGTAAGCCCTGGAAACAGTCTGGCACCCAGGCTATCTGAGAGGCACTGTGGAATAGTTTCCTTGGGAGCATGTTAGCCCTGGAGCCCAGGAACTGGCCGGTGTAGGCCCTGGAAACAGTCTGGCACCAAGGCTAAAAAATCTGCCCGTCATTTAAATGAAAAACATCCTGTCGTGTTGAGTTGAGGAGATAGCTGTACTATCGTGCTACACATCCGGTACATAAGGTGCGCACGGTTGGCACGCGTCCATTTTGAGGATCAACAACCCTCCCTTACGTGGCCCAATGCCAACGCACGACCGTGAACTTGAACATGTCAACGGCCTTTCCTGGCGTTCCGGGGTTTGCAATGAGTTTTCCAAGAACAAGCTTGACTCATGACTGATTCCAGACGCTGTTGTTTTTAGGAAAGTCTCCTTAAACTTCCTGGTCGAGACGGACCCGAAGCACTAAATTAAATATTACTATAGATAGTAACGTTGAAATTGCGTTTGTATTAACTGAGGTTGTGCTATCAACTTCGCCGAGAAGGTTATGTTTTCGGTAACCTCAAAGTGATTAGATTTTGGGCCACCTGGCGACTTGTCATGGTACTGCATCAAAACTTCCGGTTTTGATATCTCATGGTCTGGACTGTATAAGGTCGTTGTACTCTCGTTTTCCCACCATACTAACTTACGTTGTAACCGTTACTAAGTGGATGTTTACATTGTTTTTTATCTGTGTGTGTGTGTGTGGGGGGGGATCTGTTACGAATGTTCACTTCAGGACAAGGTCCTCTTATCTGCTTCCGCCATATTGGCACGCGCTGCCACGCAACGTCACTTGGCCACCAGGGACACAATAACTGTTCTATCGCGATTTCCTTGGAAGCACAAAAATATAGTAATCAAACCCCGAAGTCCATTCAGTCATTCTTGGATAACGTCATTTTCTTGTCCTTCATGTAAATTGTGCGTACTTTAAAAAATTTTAAATAACCAAATGTTGTTACATGTTGATGTCACACATTAAATCAAAATCAAATTTGCTACTGTGATACTATAGATCAGTCAGAAATCACGCGTTTGTTTTGAATCGTCCAACAACAGACCGATCCCAATCGAACACAATAAGCCCCGCCTCCTGTTCTATGGTATTCTATTTTTATATATATAACGTATATATTCCAACATTTCATGACTAGACAGCACACTGAAATTATATCAACTGATTTTATGCTGCCACCAGCGAAGAGGATACAGGATACGAATACAGGACAGGACAATACTTATTTTCACTTGAGCTAAGTGAGGAAAGTCGTGTTAAGTGCCTTTCCCAGGGGCACAAGATCGGTGGCGTGTCAGGTCTCGAACCCGGGACCTCTTGGTTCTGAGTCGAGCACGCTGCCGCTACGCCACAGGACCCCTATTTCGCACACCGATTTTGACGGAGATATTCGAAATCGAACAAGGGTTCGATGCGTTCCATCCGGATCGGTCTATTCAACTCAAATACAGGGTAGCATATGATGGTTTGGCTACCAGGCCATATTACATTAGCCCACTTTAGACACAAGTTTTAGCGACATCGGTACTGGCGACAGCGGGAACGCCATGTAAAGAGAATTCTGTGGGTCTCAACTCCAATTAAAAAGGCCATCACATACGAGTCGCCACCAGACTCCTTTGCAGGCTGAATGAACAGTAGAAATTGGCATAAAATGTAACTGACCAGGGGAGTTGGCCGGCCATAGAGGGTACAATTTCCCCTGGCCAGCTACATTCATTTTAGCTAGGCCAATTTCTACTATCTATCCAGCCCGCAAAGGATTCTTGTGGAGGCTATGATGATGATGGTGACTGGTTTATTATTCACATAAACATACGTTGGGAAAGTGTGGTCAGGGAGAGTTCAGACAGGGCTGAGCTGTGACTAATGTAGTTCTGTCCAAGAATGATTCTACATTACCACATTACATTATTACCACATACCTGTAGTCTGTCCTGCTGCCGACCACGGCATCATACACACCAGGAGAACCGTGAGCCCGCAGTAGAAGGGCAGAGCAGCTGACGATGGAAACATCATGATGTAACAGCCAATGGCTGCTGGATCTTTTGGCCGAATGGTTTGTGCGCTGGTTGTGAGCTGACACGCCGCGAGCTTGCGGCGCGGGTTTGATTCCCGGGGGTCAGAATCAACCTTCGAGTCACTCCTTTCTCTTCTGTAACAATGAGAAGAGGCACCGCTAGCTAGCACACGTCTGGTCGCGAAGTAAACAAGAATGTCCTTGACTACTACACAGATAAGGTTTGGACTGAATCCTAAGTTACGGTCACCCTTGCCCAACCGTGTCTGGGACAATAACATCCTCTTTTAATCAGGAAATGCGTTACAGATGTTGCTTGTTGGGGTTTTCTTTCCTTGAAACGAGGATATTTTTCGACGTCAAAGGACCAACCCAGCACGTTTCTTTTGTGACAAAACGATGGAAAGTTATAAAGTGCCTAATTAGCCAGTAAGGAAACCTTAAGTACCTTCACTCTTTACTTGGGGGCGCTTTAACGCAGTACAGTGGTGACTGCAAAGACCTATATGGGGTTTTTGAGAACACTTTACGGAGAATCCTTAATGGCGTTACAGGAACACTTACTCAAAGCACCGTATGGGGGGGCTGTCACTTCATGGGTTTTTAGGAAAGCACTACATGGGGAGTTTTGAGAATTCCTGTTACTGAATATCTACATGGGACTTCATGACCACATTTGGAAGGATATTGAGAAAACTACAGGGGTGGACTCACTTCGTCATTGAATAAAAAAAATTACGTCTGATTTTCCTCTCAAAAACGCAGGAAATGCCATTTAGAGAGTTCAATTTTCAAAATTTTCCTATGATCCCCCTAGGAATCTCGTGCCTACGGCGCTCCCTGGTCCCTGAGACAGTGGGAAGACCCCCCCCCCCCTTCAAAATCCTGGCAACAGACATGCCAAACATGAAAGGGTGCCGGCAAGCCCTTTTCCGTAGAGCGTAATCGGCCGTTTTAATTCTACGTAGAGCGTAGACGGACCGCTCATTTTGCGTAGAGCGTATTCGCCGTTTTAAGTCTACGTAATGCGTTGTAGCCAATTGGACTCGTAAAGCGTAATCGAGGGTTTCCGAATTCAGCGTAGAGCGTTGTCGGGACCCCCCTCCCCCGCCCCCCGCCTGTAGGCCGTCATGAAAGGGCACGGTACCATGGTTGTAGGCACTCAACCAGAGAAAGGTAAGCACACACCCGGCTCGTGTATCACCAGTTGTCGGCAAACACAAAGGAGTAACACAAAGAAAGTCTGTGGTTGGTTTGACTGCCAACGACCGATAGGATATCGCTCCTTTCTTCAACCCTGTGAGTGTAAAAATACAGGACGGTGTATTTTCGTGGAAGGTTCACCCCTCAGGCAGCCATGTTGGCATTTTGGAAGGTTTCTTGCACGGATTTCACTGAGTAACGTCAGGTATGTGTTCTCTGAACATCCTGGTCTGAGTAGTCAGTACTCCTGTGCCTTTTGTACATTATCATGGTAGAAATGTCTAAGTATCTGCGTTGCTCATGAACCCGTGACTAACTATGTGTAAAAATACCTAGTTCCTTCCGCAACATAGGAGCTAACGTTAGTAACAGTGTGTAGACCTATGTGCTACTCTCCAAGTAGAGGTTGATGGGGAAGATCGTTTACCTTTCTATATACGTCCCGTTTTTGTCGCTACCCCCACCGTAGGGGTTAGGTGTAACAAGTCGTTCGGTGTGATGTAGTCAGCTTCCGCCGCGCCGCGTGCCTGCGAAGCTGGTGTGTTACGCCGAAGGGCGGTTATACCGGCTATACAGATACAGAAGCTGGTATGTTACACCGAAAGGCGGTTATACCGGCTATACAGATACAGAAGCTGGTGTGTTACGCCGAAGGGCGGTTATACCGGCTACTACAGATACAGAAGCTGGTGTGTTACGCCGAAGGGCGGTTATACCGGCTATACAGATACAGAAGCTGGTGTGTTACGCCGAAAGGCGGTTATACCGGCTATACAGATACAGAAGCTGGTGTGTTACGCCGAAGGGCGGTTATACCGGCTATACAGATACAGAAGCTGGTGTGATACGCCGAATGGCGGTTATACCGGCTATACAGATACAAATACAGATACCGTTGGTAGAAAGGAAACGATCTTCCCCCCATCAACCTCTGCTTGGATAGCACTATGTGTAGTTGATTTATTTGTTGCTCGATCCTAGTACTGCTGCTACAACCTTAAGACAAGAAAAGACCGTAATACGCAGTACAGAGCACACTATATATATACGGACGGTTTCGTCGAGATACTACGAGTATTAACCCTTGTCCTGCTGACATCCGTTACACAATATTTTTAAATCATTTTATGTCTTAATTGGGTCAAAGACCCTCAACTTTTTTTTGACCTGCGGTGGCATAGTTACTTCCGCATTTGTTGCGTTTCGCTGCGGTGTAATGCGTTGCACGAGAAATACCCCCAAATCGTACCTACACAGAGTTCTATATTGGCGGTACTGTATGTGCAAAACATTAATTGTTGGGCTCCGCAGGACGTTTCATGTCTAAATTTCAGGGGGAATATAATGACAACTTGATGACAATGATGTTTATTGCATATTCATGCCCTTCCGGGCTAAATGCATTGGATGACATAACATATTGGATGATACTAGTTACTAGTACATAGGGAATTGTATAAGAAGAAAAAACAAAACAAAACAAACAGCTACTGTATAATATAATTCATCTAACTCTAAAGCTTACAATAGCTTACTAGTTTCTTCTCTCCTCTTGAGACATGCGTACACGAATTCACAGAGTTTCTCAATCACCAGGTGTTTAGACGATGTAATGGGCTAGCAATGATACCAATTTCTCACATGTAACGTAACACATTCCGGTTCTATTCCAGGATTAAAGTTTTGATCACGACCATGTGAACTCACGGCATCGGTGAAGCGGTGGTCGATACTATGGAAAAAAAGGTGCTGATATTCTTCCTGATTGTCCTTGTGTTCTGTGTCGCCATGTATGGCTTATTCGGAAGGGTCTCCGTAACTCTGGTAATGGCGTCAGCAGACAAGAGCAAGCCAGGCGTGCATTTCGTGTACCTCGGGGCAAGCGAGACCGAGGGCCGGGGGACCGAGGACCGGGGGACCGAGGGCGTTACCAGCAGGGAAACCCTGTCCTGTCGTCTGAAGAATAAGGTCCCGTTTTCGACCATCACCAGAACGTTGGCGCCCCTCCAGGCCCATCCTATGATCAAGTCGCTGTTTCCCAAGCAGAGTCTTGAGGACGTGGTTCACTACAACTCGTGCGCCGTGGTCAGTAGCAGCCATGCCATGAAGTTTCACAACTACGGCAGGGACATAGGTACCGTCTGTCCAATTTTTACCTCCATGAAAAATGGAGGTATTGTTTTTGGTGTCTCTCTCTCTCTCTCTCTCTCTCTCTCTGTGTGTGTGTGTGTGTGTGTGTGTGTGTGTGTGTGTGTGTGTGTGTGTGTGTGTGTGTGTGTGTGTGTGTGTGTGTGTGTGTGTGTGTGTGTGTGTGTCGTGTGTGTGTGCTTCCGCACATTTGTAGTCAGCCTAACGCCTTTATAGATTGTGACGATATTTGGTATATTTGTGACATTCCTTTGTAAATATATCTAGGTACTAAATATATCAAAGAATGTTTAGACCTTGTTATAACTAGTAGTACAAGTGGAACGTTAAACTTAACATGTTTATTTATTCATATTCTTGAACGTAAGACAATCCATCTGCATCCCCTTTTTTGTATGTTTAGCTGTAGTAGACCGTACGAAAGTCCCCGTGCTTTATTTTTGTTGTCTCAATAAATATTGCATGTGTTCAAAGTTAAAACCTTTGTTCCAACGCAAAGAGTCAGGGTCCGTCACCCTTCACTCAACCGCGACGGGGGCCGACATCGTATGCCTTTGACCCAGTGTTGACGTCACACTACATAGAAGCCACGTCACAAGCCTCACTGGGTCAGTCTACTGAGGAAAACCAGAGTGACTCTAAACGAGAACCATTCTTTGTGTTGGAACAAAAGTTTTAACTTCAAACATGTAACTACCCACACGTTGAACCCAAGGTTCGTGTGGCGTAACGGCAGAGTGCTCGACTCGTAACCAAGAAGTCCCGGGTTCGAGTCCTGACATGCCACCGATCTTGTGCCCTTGCCTTGGGAAAGGCACTTTACACGACTTTCCCCATTTAACTCAAGTGAAAATGAGTTTTGTCAGTGCCTTGTTTCTATGTATGGGGTACAACACCAGCAACAGCCTTTGCCTTTGTCCCACGTGTATTGTGTTATTACAGTTTAAATCAAATTAAACCAAATGACCATTCATGTAGATTGTACGTATTGTATCTAGATGCCCATGACGCTGTCGTGCGTTTCAACTGCGCGCCGACGAAGAACTACGTCACGCACGTGGGGAGACGGACGGACATCCGTCTCATCAACACCGTCATCCCCTACACCAGCTGTCAGCGGGAGTTCTGGGACAGGCACGTTAAAATGTTTATTTTCTTAATCATTTATTTCAATACTTACATACAAACATACATACATACAAATAGGCAAAAAAGCAACTGTTACTCAAGCAACTGGATATGATTTTGGAACAGATTCGCTAGTGCCCCCACTTCGAAAATTCTCATGGTCCAACACAAAAAATTTCTTTCACCTAGAGCTTTCGACCAGTCACACTGGGTCAGTCTTCTTAGGAAGACCAGAGTGACTGGTCGAAAGCTCTAGGTGAGAGATTTCTTTGTGTTGGATCAAAAATTCTAACTTCAATCAATTTTACAATTTGTTAGGCGCGTCAAAATGTTCAACAACGAGATCGTCGTCGTCCGCAACTTTCTGAACGTCCGTGTCGGGAAGCACGGCAAGCTGGACCTCCGTCAGGACCAGCACCACAGCTTCGGAAACTACGTCAAGTACAGGAGGACGTTTCCGGAGAGAACTATGCACTTCATTCAGAGGCCGAACTTTGGCGTGGACATAAAGAACGAGCTCAGCCACTTCTGCAATGGGAAGACCAACTGTAAGACTACGGAGTCTGAGAAAAGTCCGAGCACGGGAGCGCATGGTAAGTAAGGCGTCGGTATTTTAAAACCCTTGTCATACATTCAGAACCTACACCCGACCACCAACCAACCAACCAGGTTTGGCAGTATGTTTAAAGTTAAAACTTTTGTTTGTTTGTTTGTTTGTTTGTTTATTTAAATGCAACAGTGCATAACAAGTGGCAACCAGGCAGCAACAAGGCTGGTAGCGGCTACCACTGACACATAAATGCATAAATACAAAGTACAGTATAACTTAAATACAATATCACTTATAACATACAAATTCAATTCAATATTTACAATAGCAATAAACATACAAAGTACATACAAATTCAATCAATACATAATTAAGCAATACAATATAATTACAATACAAATCGATAAAATGATCAAAGTTGAAATGGAACGGTTGGAGGATTTTTATTTACAATTGGTGTTTAGGTAATCAGGATAAGAGGTGGTGTTTGCATTTGGCCTTGAATACGGAGATGGTGGCCGAGCCTGTGACCTCGCTGGGTAAGCGGTTCCACAGTCGGGAGGTGTACAACAGGAAACTGTCTCTGTAGACGTTTGTTCTGCACCGGGGGATGTGAAGGTGATGAGCGTTCCGCAGTCGTCGCTGGGATTGGCTGTTTGCGACTCGGGTCGTCGGGATTAGTGGCTCGAGGTGGGCTGGGACGGGGCCGTTAACAAGTTTGTACATGGTAACTAGCCGATGGTAGTCCCTCCTGGTCGCCAGACTATCCCACCTGAGCTTGTGGAGGATCTCTGAGTAGGGTGTGCGCGCAGCCGCACCCGAAACGAGACGCCCAGCGTGGTATTGCACTCGCTCCAGGATCTTAGATGCCGCAGCAGGTCAAACATAAAAAAATAATTCTTTCACCTGCTAGAGCTTTCGACCAGTCACTCTGGTCTTCCTCAGTAGACTGACCCAGTGAAGCTTGTCACGTGGCTTCTTTGAAGTGTGACGTCAACACTGGGTCAAAGGTATCTGGTAGACGATGTCGGCCCCCGTCGCGGTTCAATGAAGGGTGATGGGCCCTGATGTATATGACCTCCTTCACCCCTCTCAAGAAATAGTCTTGTTCAGTGGTTTGGCAGTAAGTTGTGCATGGGGGCAGTCTAACCATATTTAGGCCACGCTTATTTTTCGATACGAGTCGAATCGAATTTGAGTTAAATTTGAACGGGCTTAAATTGATAACCCACTTGGGTATGGATACAACGAAGGCCAGATCTGTGTGACTTCATTGAACCGCGACGGGGGCCGACATCGTCTACCAGATACCTTTGACCCAGTGTTGACGTCACACTTCAAAGAAGCCACGTGACAAGCTTCACTGGGTCAGTCTACTGAGGAAGACCACAGTGACTCAGAGCTCTAGATGAGAGAATTTTTGTGTTGGACCAATAGTTAGCGATCCTGCCTCTGGACTAAGAGGTTGGGAGTTCGAATCCCGGCTGTTGTCGCTCACCCGACATGCACGCTACTGATTAGGGTCGCAGTCCTTCGGACGGGACGTTAACCGTGGTCCACTGTTCATTGTGCTTGTCGAAAAGAGCTAGGGGAATTTCCCCGGTACAATGAACCTGTAAATACTGTACATAGTGTCTGTCTTCTCTGTCACGACCAGTGGAAGATTAGCTCTTAAATGAGTTAAACTGGTTCGAGATCACTTTCACTTTGTAAACAAAAACAAATAATGTTTCAGGGATAGTGATGATGCTGCACCTGTGTGACTGGGTCTACACGTACGAGTTCGTCCCGTCCGCCGTAGACAGGAACACCTCTCTGGCGCACTACTTCGACGAAGAGACGAACTTCAGCTGGCTATATCACTCCTACAACACGGAGAGAGACTACTGGAGAACGCTGACCGTGACATCTCTGGAGGAGGTAGAGAGGACCGGAGTGGCGGTCTTTAGGGGGCTGTCTCAGTACAACTGTACTTAGTTCCTTGGTTGAATGTCACCTCTCTAGTTTATTACACATCTGTGTGAGACTATCACAACACGGAGAGAGATTACTGGAGAACACTGACCGTGACACCTCTGGATGAGGTAGAAAAAACCGGGGTAGCGGTTTTTAGAGGGCTGTCTCAGTACAACTGTACTTAGTCTCACAGAGATGTGTAGTAAACTAGAAAGGTCACAGCATATGTGTAGTAAACTAGAAAGGTCACATTCAGCAAAGGAATTATCACTCCTACAACACGGAGAGAGATTACTGGAGAACACTGACCGTGACACCTCTGGATGAGGTAGAAAAAACCGGGGTAGCGGTTTTTAGAGGGCTGTCTCAGTACAACTGTACTTAGTCTCACAGAGATGTGTAGTAAACTAGAAAGGTCACAGCATATGTGTAGTAAACTAGAAAGGTCACATTCAGCAAAGGAATTATCACTCCTACAACACGGAGAGAGATTACTGGAGAACACTGACCGTGACTTCTCTGGAGGAAGTAGAAAAAACCGGGGTGGCGGTCTTTAGGGGACTGTCTCAGTACAACTGTACTTAGTGTTACAGCAGATGTGTAATTAACTAGAGAGGCAACACTCAGCAAAGGAACTATCACTCCTACAACACGGAGAGAGATTACTGGAGAACATTGAACATGACACCTATGGGGGAAGGGGGTAGAAAAAAAACGGCGTGGCGGTCTTTAGGGGACTGTCTCAGTACAACTGTACTTAACCTCACAGAGATGTGTAGTAAACTAGAAACTTAGGTAATACTCAGCAAAGGAGCTATCACTACAGGAGGTATCAGCTACACTATAGAGAGAGATTGTGTACGGCATAAGCCATAACTCGAGGAGCTGTAGATTAATTTTAATGATGTTTACCCTCGCAGAAAGAAAACATTGTTTTTGCTCTGTTTCTTCTTTGTCGTCCGTTGCGAACACTGTCAATTACCTGTAGCAGACGTCTGTCACCATGGTAACTGGTATGGTGCTGTAGCAGACACCCTGTGGTGTTGGGTTACATTATGTAGCAAGTTGCAGGACAGCATTGGAGAGGCTGGTGACCATAAATTAATGTGTTTAGAGTATAAGAATAAACTCCATTTTGCAGGTCTCCATTCAGATCAGAGACTAGGAGTGCTCTGACCCATATTTTATAAACTTTTAGCCTTTTACAGTAGCAAACCTGAGCACTTGAAAAGACGTCAAAATGATAACAGGACGACACAAATAAACTGCTGCTCTGGATTTTATTTTCGAAAGAACTAAATATCAATGAAAGAAAGGTGAAACCAAGGACCGTTCTATCAGATCCTTGGTGAAATATACAATACAACATAGCACCGACGTGAACGAAAGAAACACAGTTTGAGAGATATCAAGTAGATATAGTGATAGACCAAAAGCCATGTGATTGGATTCAATTCTAAGGCTATAACACCGATAATATCCGCTGCTCATCAAGCGTTAGGAGGTCGGGGTCAAATCTCGGATGGGAGAAACAGAAACTGCAGCAGTGCCTGGTATTGCCTGCCATCTCCTGCAGCTCATGGGTGGGGTGATAGAGGGCGCTGTTGAGTTGTTCTCGGGTGAAATGCAGCAAACACCGTGCGTAAGCCCTGCGGTCTTCTGAAGCCATCGAGCTGTAGGAGAAAAGGAACAGAAGGTTATTATTATTTTTTTTGTCGTGGGTACTATTTACACATTGAGGTAAGTAGTACAGCCAAAGGCTAACTTGTCTTGGTTCGTGTGGCGTACCGGCAGAGTGCTCGACTCGGAAACTAGAGGTCCCGGGTTCGAGTCCTGACATGCCACCGATCTTGTGCCCTTGGGAAAGACACTTTAAACGACTTTCCTCACTTCGCTCAGGTGAAAATGAGTATTGTATTGTCCCTGTGTTGGTGACGGCATTAATATAAGTGTGAAAAACATGAGTGTGCCGTCACCACGTCTTGTGATTACATGTTGGAAATTATCATAACTTGTAGCTTGAACGCCAGTAAGATATTCAGAACCTTCTCCCGACCACCGGCCGACCAAGGTTCGAGGTAGAGAAAAAGACGGAGAGAAAGAATGGTTTTTATTCACACGCAACCTTTAGAAAAATACACTTAGTTCACAGTTGTCAAAATAAGCAGCTATGTCGGTTTACAGTAGCTGAATTGCGAGATAAAATGAAAGCTTACGTACTACGTTACAACAATAAAATTATCCCAGATAATTGCTAAAAGTTGTATATCGTAAAAAAAACTCTTCTTGAAATTGCATTGTGATAAAATTACACTTGCTATATATATCCCCACAAGCCTGTAATGTTCGCCATTACGACTGTCCCACGCACGCTCCATATCCGCTGTCCCAGCTGCTCTGTCGTTATCGCGACTTTTATTGGGCGAGTCTGGGTAATTTTCGCCGCTTTTCACACAAGTATGAGGCTGTTTTTAATCCGCCCGTGCAGCTTCCCAACTGCCCGCGGCCCTGTTACCGTTTTGTCCCCGCTATTACGGCAGTAATAGTGTGTCTCGGTAAGTCCTGTAAGCCTTTCCAATGGTTTACTACCGGGAGGTCTAAATGTCTACATGTGTCTAGGAGAACGAACATGGCGAGGGGACTGTTCAGCTTGAATGTCAGACTTGAAGGCGAAATACCACTATCTGTGATATAAAACGAACAAACAAACAAACAAACACACCCAATGGCAGCTGGACCTGATTGAGGGGGGTTATTTTAGGGACGTCCCTCGGATAGGTCCCTTTGTAAAGAAAGGGGCATGCCCCGGTGTACGGTGGTTCAGATATCTACCACTATCTATGTAAGAAACAGAAGGAGCGAGTAGAAACAGATAAAACCCCGCTGGTCCCGGGCCGGGGTTCGAACCCACAACCTCCCGGGCTCCAGTCAGGCACTCTAACCGCTCGGGTCAGTTGGTAGCGCCTAAACCCCCAACTGTTACACTACTCCCCCTTTTCTTTTCAAGAATCTTCCGAATTCGACATCCCTGGAGCGGCACTCTTTGCCAGAACTCCCAGGGCCGGTGTGGGAACCAGTGTAAGAAACAGGAGGAGCGAGTAGAAACAGATAAAAACCCACTGGTCCCGGGCTGGTAGCGCCTAAACCCCCAACTGTTGCATCTACAATATAAAACAGACAAACAAACAAACAAACTTACCCTATGGCAGCTGGACCTTCTGGTTGAGGATGAGCTCCACCAGGTCGCCCACCTGCAGGTAGTTACTGTCCTTCTTGTTTGACGTCCAGGAGAACTTGTAGGCGTGGTTATCCACATCCAAGTCTGCCGCGCGTTTCCTGCCAGCACCCCTCCCGCCTTGTTTACAAACAAACAAACAAACAAATAAATAAATAAATAAGAAGACCATCAATAAGATGAATAAGTAACAAGAGATCATCATCATCATTCATTATCAAGAACCTCCTATCTGCAGCCTTTCCTCCTTGTTTACAAACAGACAAACAAACAAACAGAAATAAATAAGGAGATCATCATCATTCATTATCAAAAGCATCCTATCTGCAGCCTTCCCGCCTTGTTTACAAACAAACAAACAAACAATTAAACATGAATAATTAACTAGAAAGATAACAATTTGCAAACCAAATGCAAAATGTTTACCTTCGCATATCCACGTCATTACAATAATGGTATTATATATTTTAAAAACGAAGGGCTCCTGTAGATATAGCACAGCAATGTAGCACACAAGCTTGTTTCTTCTAGTTCTACCCTACAGTTATCGAACGTAGTGCATTTTGCCCATCTGAGGCTTGAATTGAAAGGAGACTAGAGACAATAAGACACCCCAACACAATAAGAATCTTGTGTGATGGTGCAGGTGACTGTGCCCTCTTCTCATTTACCGTGATATCTACTTTGTCGTTCAAGGAACAGGTGCACACGTGCACACAGACACATTCAAACTCAAACAATACGTCCATTTTTCATGGAGGTAAAACGCTCTGTTCATTACCAACCCGTGTAACAATAGATACGCTAGACAACTGTTGTCATCTGAAAAATTCAGAACCTGGCTACCACCTCTCCGTGGCGAGATGCACGGCAGACGAACGATAACTTCTCAGCTCATAGACACTATGAAGACCATGAACCAGGTGAAACATGGTAACACCTTTAGTTCACTATGCACCAAGTAACATCTAGCGTCAGTGCACAGCAAACCAGTCAGAATTGCCCTGATGAAGATGACAAACGGTCATCAAAACGTCGGCTCGTAAAAAATAAAAGGTTGTGATCAAAGAACTTCGCTATTCTTTTAAAGTTAAAACTTTGGTCCAACACGAAAAATAGACTGACCCAGTGAAGACATTGAACCGCGACGGGGGCCGACATCGTCTACCAGATACCTTTGACCCAGTGTTGACGTCACACTTCAAAGAAGCCAAGTGACAAGCTTCACTGGGTCAGTCTACTGAGGAAGACCAGAGTGACTGGTCGAAAGCTCTAGGTGAGAGAATTTTTTGTGTTGGACCAAATGTTTTAACTTTAAACGCGTCCTACCTGTGATGTCATCCAGGATGGCCTTCAGCGCCTGCAACCTGCCCAGTTTGTAGACGTTCTTACTCTTGGCGCTGGACATGACGGCCTCTGCCATCCGCTTGTCCCTGAAAAAATAAAACGTGAAACGAACATAAAACAGAGAGAAAGCATCGCGCAAAAGTACAAGTTTCAAGTTTATTTATTTATTTTGCCAGGGAATACCTCAGATCCATTGATCTGCTTTTCAGGTATCCCTGGGCACATACATTAAAACATACATTCATAAAAATTAAAAATTTAACCCAACCATATATAAAAACATTACAAACATGTACATGTCCAATACAGTCACATTATAGGCACATTTAGTTCATTTTCCAAGTTCAGTCCTCTGCACTAGTCTACAGTCTATTTCTCTTTTTAAATGCTGACGTTGACTGGGAGAAAAAATCCGGATTTTTCCGGACTGGCAGAATCAATCCGGATGTTTCCGGACTGGTAGAAACAATCCGGATTTTTCCGGACTGGTAGAAATTTCGCTCCTTACGCTTCTTCCTGCATCGGCATCATCTCCTCCGTCACCGCGTTCTCGTGACCAGGGTACCAGGCGTTCTCCGGCCCAGGGTACCCAAAGTCCGTGAATCCGGCCAGCCTGGTTCTCTCAGTCCTATAACACCGATTCACGTGTTAAATAGTGAAAAGGATCAACTGTTTTACTTTGTCATGGGATGCTCCAGATATGATGTTTTACGTAACAATGTTTATTTTGCCATACAATTGTACAAATCAGTGTTATTCAGCTTGTTACATGTTGTACACGCTGCGAGGCTAATTTTCTTAATAAAAACTGTTTTAAAAAGCTATTCACATTTCTCAAATCAAGTACAACAGATTCCAAGAACGACTCAAAGCCATAGACAGATTTGAATACATCTTTTTACAATGCTATAATTAGCACAGTGCATAATTAGCCCCACTCGATTGCAACACTTATTAATAATGACGTATGATAGCTCTTTTGTTTAATTCACTGAAATTGCTGAAATGTTCAATGAATATAGTCTATTTAATAGTAAATAAAGAAGCCATGTTGCGGGCGTCTTTTTGACAAACCGAGCTGCGAACTGGACAAAATAAAACCAGTAGTTTGTACAGAAAGGTTATAATAATATGATATGAATCTTTATCGTTCTTGCCCAGATGGGCTAAATGCACAAATGTGACCAAATGAGGTCGAGAGAATAAAAACCATGAGCACTGCGTAGCCTCCATAGCATGCCAAAAACTGGGGGTTTTGGGGGTCTTCAGGGTCTTTGGGAGCTTTTATGTGCTGTTTTCTGATTGCATATAGACAACATAGCTGGCCTGGTTGAATTACCCCCGTTTTTAGAACTGGGCTAATCAGAAAACAGCCGAAGACCACCAAACACCCAGTTCTATAAGCCTGCTACGGAGGCTAAGCATTGCATACTGGAACGCTATATGCTAATGCTACGGGCTATATAATAGTAAAGCGCCATGGATATCATGGGAAGTACAAATATCTGAGTGTAGAAGATCTGTACCTTGTGTTGGGGTTGTCGTAGTTTGGTGCGGCGTCCAGACAGGCGGTGAGTAGCACCAGGGAGAACAGCAGAAGCACGACTTTCAACTCCATGTTTGTTTCCGGCTCTGGTGGTTCTTACACTTCGCTGTGACGGGCTGTCCTGACAAGGAGAGATGTGATTTGATTTGATTTGATTTGATTTATTGAAATTGCCACAACTACTAAATACCTAATACCGCCTATCGTAGACTGGAACTCGTTGCCACCAAGCACAGTAGGCCTAAGGGCATCATCAGTAGAAAGCTTTAAACTACTCCTGCAATCAAATGTGCAAAGATTGAGTGTAACAGGTCGTTCGGTGTGATATAGCTAGCTGCCGCCGCGCCGCGTGCCTGAGAAGCTGGTGTGTTACGCCGAAGGGCGGTTATACCGGCTATACCGATACAAATACCAGCCCAGAAGAGAACAAGAAATAGCCATGCATTCAAGTACCAGAGTTATCAACCAAGGATTGAGGTGTTCATTCTTTCCTAGAAGTATCGCAGAGTGGAACTCGCTGTCACCAAGTACAGAAGGGGCATTGTCATTAGATAGCTTTAAACAATGCCTAGAGTTAGACGTTTAAGGGTTAGGTGTAACACATTGATCGGTGTAATATAGCCAACTGCCGCCGCGCCGCGTGCCTGCGAAGCTGGTGTGTTACGCCGAAAGGCGGTTATACCGGCTATACCGATACAGATACAATACAATACACGTGAGGTACAGGCAGCTGTTGCTGGTGTTGTATCCCACACACATAGAAACAAATACAGGACAGACAATCATCATTTTCACTTGAGTTAAGTCGGGAAAGTCGTGTATGTAAAGTGCCTTTTCCGAAGGGCACAAGATCGGTGGCATGTCAGGACTCGAACCCGGGACCTCTTGGTTCCGAGTCGAGCACTCTGCCGCTACGCCACGCGACCCGATCGAGGATACGAGATAAAACAGGGAGTAGGAGTAATTATAACCACCTTGTGACGCAGTTTGCTGCCTGGGGATACGCAACAGTAGCTTTGTTCTTTACTGTTTACGATTCAGAAGTATCTTGAGTTCTCCCGATGGAACGGTTTGTTGTTCCGGGACCAGGAAGTTTGCTATTGTGAATTGCGCACGTGGAAATCTGATGACGCAAATTGAACGGTCTTTACGGATGTTTCTTAAGGAAGGCGATGTCATGCTGCCTTTCCCATGTGTGCAATTTACTTTTTTATTCATTCATTTATTTGAGCTTTTTTTTATTAACGGTGTCGCTCAATGCAAGGCCAATTATTTTTGGCCACTTCTAGGCATAGAGCTAGAGGTACTTAAGTGAGTATAATGTAGTTATGTCAGGAGATGGCGGTGGACCTTTGTTTTGAAGCTTTGTGGATTGTAATCGGAGCTTTGTCACAAGACAGGACAGTGGGAACAGGTCGATGCCTTTTCCATGCCCCTGTCCAGATTTTAAAATATACAGATATCTAAAATACAAGTAATACATAGGTAATAGATATAAGTAATCACTGACAATATTCCCGACCTACTCCTAACCATGGTTGGAGGATTTCGGCCAGAGTTCGGGAGGCCATACTCGGCTATATGTGACAAGGCTAGCCTCCTTCGCAGACTTGTAGGGCGCGGCGTTATTTTTTTTTTTCGGTGAGCGACGCGAGTTATGCTGCGGAGGGACGGTTTTGCCGCCGAGAGAGCCCCTCCGCGGCATAACTCGCTTCGTTCACCGAAAAAATAAATAACTCCGCGCCCTAAAAGTCTGCGAAGGTACTCTGCAAGCAGAAATTGTGGGGCAATGACCGTTACCTTTTTATATATGGCCGTTTTTTTTTCTTGTCCTGACCCCCACCAACCCGTCGGTGGCCGGCGACCTTCTCTGGCTAATGGATACTGCCTAGCCAATTTGATACTGTCTTTTTGCCACCGAAAGGGATCTGCTTGGAGATTATGCGAAGGAGGCTATGATGAGGCCGGGCTTCGGCGAAAACGAAAAACATTACCAACTGCACCAGTGGATCCTACAGTGATTAACCGGGATCCAAAATGGCCTGGAAGCCGATAATGTACAAATGGAAGGAAGCAGAGAGGGCAAGCAGCCGGAATATCCACAGGGAAGCTTCAGTCTTCAGCTCAAATTTAGTGGAATCAAAAGTCACGACCGGGCGAAGTAACGCCGGTAAGTGTTCAGAGAGACCACGTCTCTTGTGTATCGGCATAGAGAAATAAAATTTGAAGGCTATAGAAGTGGGAGCTAAATCTAGAATCCTTTTTCTGATAGAACAAAAACTCTATATCTGGACTTGACACGACTCTGGGTAAAAATAGCAAAGGGATAAAATGAACATGTATATGTAGGTTTCTGATTGTACGAATTTTAGGTTTCATACATTATACCTTACTTAAACTACTTTTCAACAACAATACTTGCTAAGAATGTATGAGAATAGTTACAAGGTTACTAAGTAAAAACACGTAAATAGTCCCATCCGATTGCCTGTATTTTTGAGAGGATAAAATACAACTGATACCAGCCCAGAAAAGAATAAGAAACAGTCATGCCTTCAAATATCAGAGTTATCAACCAAGAATTGAGGTGTTCAAAAACTCGTATTTCCCCAGAACTATCGTAGACTGGAACTCGATCGTTGCAACCAAGCACAGTTGGGGCATCATCACTAGAAAGCTTTAAACAACTCCTGCAATCAAATGTGCAAATATTGAGTGTAACAAGTCATTCGGTATGATATAGCTAGCTGCCGCCGCGCCGCGTGCCTGCGAAGCTGGTGTGTTACGCCGAAGGGCGGTTATATTATACCGGCTATACTATACCGATACAGATACAGAACTGGTCTAAGCTGAGTTGATTTTGAGTTTTTGGTTATTGTCATGGGATGGCAGCGTCTGATGAAGTGACTGTTTCACTGGCCTTTTTACAGTAATTGGTGAATCAATCTCAAAAGCCCGCTTAAAATTCTTTTAATTATCAAGCTTCTGACTGTTCAATTTATCATCACGATCTGCCTTTCTGTTGAACTGCTTTCATTATTCTTGGTTAGTCGAAGATTGATACTCCAAGTATGAGAATTGGGAATAACTGTTGGCAGAACATACTAGTAGTTCAAACTGGCGGGATCTCTTGCAGCGTTTCATCGTCCTCTTTGTACGTTTCGACATAGACTGTCCCATTCTTTTCGGCAAACTCCGTGAGCCACTAGCTAGGTAACTGGGTTAGAGTCTTTTAATTTAACCGAAGATAGATCCCCCTGTTATGATACAGTGATAGATCACTTCATAATCTCTGCTTTAACGACGTTGTAGGTATCTGCTATCCATGCCACCGTTGTCGACTCAAGGTTTTTCTCTCTGCTCTGTTCGACGTTCAGATCACGAAGTTTGTCGTAAACATTATCGCTGTGTTTATTCATGTCCTACAAACATAAACAACACACTCAGCAGACATCAGGGAACCTGCATAATTGCCATCAAGGCACATGTTAATGTAGCGTAGTGGCTGTTACTCAATACTGATGAATATTTTTAAGAGCAGAGAAGTAAACATTTCCTTTTAGCGCAATCATTCAACGAGATTCTAAAAGCGTTACCTTTGCCACCACTGTTCCTAATGGTTCTAATCTAGATGCAAATCTGTCCAACAACATGTAATGAATATATATAGATTGCCAACAAAACAATGTAGCTTTCCCAGATTCAATTGGCTCTGATGAGAGAGTGTGTATAAGCTGTAGTAAACATGAACATTGAGAGATGGCGACGCGAATCATAACATAAAAATAAAATGCTACGCAAATTCTCCGTGGTTAAATAGATGAACACAGCATAATTACAAAGGCTTTTTTTTTAATGGTTAATATGGGGTATTCTTCATGTATAGTGTTGGGTGTTTTGTAGGACAGAATCTGATATTTGTCCATGGGTAGAAAACTCTGATTGTTAACCAACCAAGCAGCCACAGCTTCTGTTCGTTTGAACAACGTAATGTTTACCGTAACACACCAAACCTAGCGCCACGACTCAAGAACTCAGTATATACATACAGTGCCGATTAAAAACTCCGCAAGAAGCCAGCATGTGCCGGATTGTCGTATATATATATATATATGTATATACATCGCAAATTCACAATACCTGCTTTGTATTCCTGTGGTTTAGTAGCATTTTTATGTTTTTGCTGAGTTTTTTTATTCGCCCGCGCGCACTAGTTTGGGGTCTTCAGAGGATGCCATCCATAAAATTAAGGCGGTGTGGCCTTACCGTAACACACCAAACGCAGCGCTTATCTCTGTAGCAAACATAATTGTACGTGATCGCAGGTATTGTTAAATCTAGTCAGAAGATTTTATGGTCAGCAATTTTTACTTAAACGAATCCAGATCCAAACGACGTTATACTGCTCGAAGTAGAGGTGGCCTACAACTGATGTGTTGTAATGTTATGCCAAAAGACTGGGGTAGACAAATCCTTCCCTTGAAAAATCGTCCGACCAAAACTGGACTACAAGGACAAGAACCGCCTAAGGAGAAGGCCGCTCGCAAATTTCCAAAACGACCACATTCTGTCTTCGTTATCGCACGTAACATCGGCATTCTGTTGTGTTAAACATGTTCTTGGCAATGTGAAAACGGTCTAGGCAACGCGAAAACGTTTTAGAAATAGGGCCTTACTTGGTAGTTACTAAGTAAAGGCGTAGAGCAATTGGGAAGTCACTTGTATATCAGAAGATTGTGGCCTAGCCACCCGCTTTGTGCTACAGAATATGACAGCATAGTTACAGCTGGAAAATACACAGGGATATATACGGCCATCCTGCCACCTGTTGAGGTTGCTAGAGATGAAGTGCCGCGCCGATAGCAGTTCTAAAACAAACGGTAAAGCAAATCTAAAGCTGGTATGCTGTATAAAAGAGCGCGTAAAGTATGGAACCTGATTAATATATATAGTTTCAATCTTGGCTCTCATGCGGGAAGACATACATGTATGGTGCCAGCCGAAAGAGTTCCGTCGGGTAAAATAACGCCGAAATGGATGTATATTTTCAAAGATTGCCAGTGGAGGATATTTCACAAGATAAAAAATGATGGAAACAAAACGCCATGAAAGTATATTTTCAAAGACTGCCAGTGTAGGATAGGTAACAAGATAGGAAAAACGCACGAGAACCGAAGGCATATTTTCAAAGATTGCCAGTAGTGGGGGATAGGACACAATATGAGAAATGATGGGAAAAACGCAGAACTGAAAGTATATTTTCAAAGACTGCCAGTGGAGGATATGTCACAAGATAACAAATGATGGAAAAAATGCACAAGAACTGAAAGTATATTTTTAAAAATTGCCAGTGGAGGATAGGTAACAAGATGGGAATTGATGGAAAAAAAGCAGAACGGAAAGTACATTTTAAAAGATTGCCAGTAGTGGGGGATAGGACACTAGATAAGAAATGATGGGGAAAAACGCACAAGAACTGAAGGTATATCGTTAAAGATTGCCAGTGGGGGATAGGTCACAAGATGAGAAATGATGGAAAAAATGCTGAAGAATTGAAGGATTGCCAATGTAGGATAGGTCACAAGATACGAAATGATGGAAAAAAAACGCACAAGAACTGAAGGTACATTTTCAAAGACTGTCAGTGGAAGATAGGACACAGGACAAGAACACTCACCTGGCTGACTCAAACCCCGACGAGGCAAGACGCTCCAAGCTTCTGAGGCAGAACGGCAGAAACTCGCGCCTTTTTATGGCAGCCGGTCCTCTTGTGTCTCACGTCCGCCGAATCACGGCTGTCTCGCTTACAATTACTTCCGTTGACTCTCCACTTCGCGGTTTAAACGGCGGAAAGCCTCGCAGATCTACTCGGGCCGGTTTCTAAGGAGACAAAAGAACGTTGCTCCTGACGACGCCCAACCACATGTTGCGCTCAGGAGCTGGAGTGGAGAAGCTTTGTCTCCCCTCAGGGACGATCCACTACTTACTCATCTTAGGCCACACCGACTTCATTCTATGGATGACATCCTCTGAAGACCTAGCCTCTACCAGGCTTGGGGAGGCGGCTGGAAAGAGTAGAAATCGGCCAAATAGAGAGATAAGCATGCCAAGGGAGTTT